TGTCCATTTTTTGGACAAGTCTCTGCTGTCCAATATTTCAAGTAGCCATCCACCCTCTACTTGAAGACCTTCAAATCCCCAAAATGTTTAATTCTATACCCTGCATGGTTTAGGGAGTAATTGTACATAGGTTCTGGACTAGAAGCCCTTTCAGGTTCCTATGAACTGCAAGCTTCATTGATTTGTAAGCATCCCCCTCCTACCACCAATTCAAATTTATTAATTCTAACTTTGGACATGTAAGCCAAGAGCGTAATTTATGTAGCATAATCTTTCATAAGGAACTTCCACTGAATCTCAGAGTTAGAGAAGACTTTAGAACTTTAATATCCGTCCTGGACCACAACAAAAGTTCTGTCTACAACATATCCACCATGGAACTGCTGACTTAGTATCTTGCACAGTCAGTGTTGTGCTGGAGCCAGCTCTAACCAGCTCCTGAGAGCTGATTGTTAAACTCTCAGCTTGAGCATTTATGCCTCAGAAATTAGCAAAAGCTACAAATCAGGGCTTGATTTATTATTTTTTTTTTGCTATTGATTTTCTAGACTTGAGAAAGTGATGAAGAAAATGTTAGTAATGCAGATTAAACTTAAAAATATATTGTGTGTACTGTTTTCCCCCCTAGAAATCTGGTGGTTGCACATTTACCAGAATACTATCTCTTATCTCTTCCTGCTATCACTTATTTCTTCCTGATCTGAAATTTTTTCTTTGCCATCCAATTCATTTTATTTGTATAATGAGTGCAAATAATGGATCCCCCCAAATGGTCACATGTGTTCAAATTTGCACTATGTGAAGTTATAATTATATAAAATACAGTCATTGGTTCCAGCCCAGTGGAAATATCAGTACACATTCAAATAAAATGACCACTTCAGGGGGTTCATTGTTCACTCTGATTGGGATCTAGTTATAGTCAGTTATCCCTGCCTATTCCAACTTACACACTTCATGTGTTAGTTGACAAATTTTCATAACATGACTGGCTTTCTTGGATCATGCAGTAAGCTACCTTGCCTGCCTATTAATTTCTGTGGACTCAGGGAGGGCAAATTATTTTCTATATTGCCCGAGCCAAATATAATTGGAAAATGACTTCAGTGGAAGGAAGTCATATCGCACACTCCAAAACCCAGTAATTTTTGGTTTACCCTGCCATTGCTGAAAAATCAAGGCTTGAGCGCATTTAGACAACCAGGGTAGGGGACAGTCACAAATACCAACACAGTTGAGTTGGTTTTGGCACCACCTACTGGGAGAAATAGGAGGGAAGGACACATGAGAATGAAGGCAGCTAACTGCTCACTAAGATGATGATAATAGTTGGTGGTTATAGTCTTTTAAATTTTTCAAAGCACTTTACATATATTATATCATTTGAGGTTTACAACAACCTGGTGAGATAGGCACAAGCAAGTATTATTTTCCTCATTCTACAGAAGTGGAAACCATGTGTCTATTTTGTAGCTATCTTACAGTGTACCTGTTCTTTTTCCTATTAGATGTAAGCTCTTTGAGGGCAGGGACTTTTTTGCTGTTTATTTGAATCCTCAGAGATTAGCACAGCCCCTGGCACCTTAAGATGTGGATTAATTGATTGGGCAGTCCGTTTTCCATCCACTACATAAATCAAGCTGACTGATTCTTCTCTCCTATATCTGCATGCTATATCTTTTTTAAAAAAATAATGTTTTTATTTATTTATTTATTTAAATATTTCCCATCGTAAATTTTTAACATTCATTCAAAAAAATTTTGAGATCCAAATTCTCTTCCTCCCTCCTGCCCCTCCCCACCCACTCAGAGTTTGTCAGTTCTCTCTCTGGAGGTAGATAGCATTTTTCATCATGAGTCCTTTGAAATTGTCTTGGATCATCCTATTGATCAGAGTATATTATTCCTTTGACTTTCACACATCTCCTGGAGCAATAATTCAGCAGCTTTGGTCCATGCTAGGCCATCTCTTTCTTAAGGGTTTGAATAGGTAGAGACAGCTGATGAGGAGACCAGCCTACAACACTCTATCTGTAGTGTCTGGACTTGAATCACAAAGTGATTGTAAAAGCTTCTTTCGCTCTATGCATTTTGAATCTCTCACCCACACAGATTTAACACATGTAAGGTGTTTTGCAAACTTTAAAGCACTAATAAATTCTAGCGTTATTGTTGTTATATTAGTGTTACTACTACTACTATTATTATTATTATCTCACCTAATTCAAGCATTTTCTTGGACTTTTTTGAAAGTACTAATTCCTATTATTTTTTACCAAAGAAAAAACGAAATTGATAGTTTAGGACTGAAAGAGAGGCAATTTCAGAGTTGGAGGTGGGGATTGAGAAGGGACAACATTAATTGGAGAGGGAATGACAGGTCAGTCTGCAGAACTGAGTTCTGTTCATAATTACAAACCTCCTCTCCCCAAGACAAACCAGCGATCGTCAAATGTCTATTAAGAAGCTTCTATGTTCCAGTTGCTGTGCTAGCCACTGGTCACAGGCACACAAAATGAAACAGTCTCTGCCCTCAAGGAGCTTATATTCTGTCAGGGGAGATGCATACATGCAGATATAGATACAATTACATGTAAAATAAATCCATGTTAATGGGGGGGCAGTGAAGAATAGGAAGGCACTAGCAGCTGGGAGAGGGTCAGAAAAGACCTCATGCTTGAGGCTTATGTTTGAACTGAGCTTTGAAAGCAACTAGGAGCTCTAAGAGGCTGAGTCAAGATCATAAAATAATGTATTCAGAGGACGACGGTACTTTAGAAGACATCTAGTTCAAACCCCTTCGTTTTACAAATGTACAGAGACCTAGAGAGGTTAGTGATTTACCTAAGGTCTCACAGATTTGAACCTGGGTCCTCTGGCTTCAAATCCAGTGTTCTCTCCATGACATCCTGGTGTTTGTCCATTTCATGACTTATTATTACCTCTTCCCTCATCCAACCCTTTAGGGGCACAAGGTAGAGACTTAACTTTATTCCATTCCAGTGAATCCTAACTTTACAACTGAAGTAGGAACTTGACTCTTTCTGAAATGGAGGCATCGTGGGAAATGTTGCTATTAACCTTAACTAGTGTTATAGTGTATTTATCCACACAACTCATCTCCTTCTCGAAGTTCCCGGGTAGGGAGTGTTCCATTTTATCTTTGAACCCCTAGCACCTAACCCAGTGCTTGATACAGAGTGGCTACCTGTTCAGAACTCACTGATAGATACCATGGGGTCAGTTGCCCTGATTGGGAGTTGCCTCATGCCACCCACTATATCAAGGCCTGGCTCCAGCCGTGCTTCACTTCAGCCTTGTCATCTTCCTACTGGCGGCCTTGCCACCACCTTGTCCCTTCTGCACTGCACCTCCTTCCAGTTTGTCAATAACCAAATGGATTCTGTCATTGCTCCTGGAAAGGATGTGTCATTCTATTCCCTTAGGGATCCGCTTGCCACCTCGGTCACTTTCCAAAACAAAATACCCTTCATTGGCCACCGCTTCCTTATACATGGTCCAGGGCTGTGCTGTAGCCAGCTTGAACTGATACATTTTCTGCGTGAGCATTTACAATTGAAAGTCGGCAACTGTTACAAATCAGAGCTTGATTTCTCGTTTTGTTGATTGTCACTGAGTCTAGACTAAAGGAAGTAATAGAGAAATGTTACTAATGCAGGTTAAATTTAAAAATGCGTACATTTTCTAAAAAGAGAGCTGGTCGTTAAGCTTTTACCAGCATATTACCGGCTGTCTCTCACTCTTAGAATGTTAAGCTCTTTGGGAACACAGACAATCTTTGCTTTTATATTTATATGACTAGCATTTAGAACAGTGCTTGACATGTAATAAGTGCTTAATAAGTACCTTTTCTTCCCTTGCTTCCTCCCTTCTCCCTTTCCTTCCTTCCTACCATCCCTCCCTCTTTTTCTTCCTTCTTTTCCTCCATCCCTTCTTCCCTTCCTTCTTTCTCTCCTTCCTTCTTTCCTTCCTCCCTTCCTTCCTTCCTTCCTTCCTTCCTTCCTTCCTTCCTTCCTTCCTTCCTTCCTTCCTTCCCTGCTTGCTTGCTTCCTTCCTTCCTTCCTTCCTTCCTTTCTTCCTTCCTTCCTTCCTTCCTTCCTTCCTTCCTTCCTTCCTTCCCTGCTTGCTTCCTTCCTTCCTTCCTTCCTTCCTTCCTTCCTTCCTTCCTTCCTTCTTTTCCTCCATCCCTTCTTTCCTTCCTTCCTTCCTCTCAGCTGTTATTGAAGCCAATGAAAGCCATAGCTTGAATCCTTATATGCATATATATCACATATTTATTTAATAAATTTATCCAACACTAACTGCAGGCAAGGGATTATTTATCTATTTCATTCCATTTGTTGTCTAGAGACTATACTCCCTAACCCTGGCCATTCGTTTCAAAACAGTGTATTATTGAGCAAAAGGGGGAATACATTATGAAATTATGAACATATCAGCACAAAGTCATCATGACTATTGGAAAAAAAACACTTAAGATGCTTATCTTCCTTGGGGTGGGCTACAGAAATCTTTTCATAAATGAAGGATAGCACATTTTGTCCCTAGAAATAGACATGATTTTGCAGGATATGATTGTTATCTCAGGTGGCTAGTAATGCAGTGGATAGAATGCTGGGCCTGGAGTCAGGAAGATTCATCTTCCTGAATTCAAATCTGGTCTCAGACACTTTCTAGCTGTGTGACTCTGGGCAAGTGACTTAATACAGTTTGCCTCAGTTTCCTCATCTGTAAAATTTGCTGGAGAAGGAAATGGCAAACTACTCCCGTATCTTTGCCAAGAAAACCCCAAACTAGGTCGCAAAAAATCAGACATGACTGAAAATTAGCGAATAATGGCAAATTGTTATCTCCATTGGAAAGAAAATGATTCATATTTGTAGAACTGTGTACCTTTTTTCTATATTTGGATTAGTTGTACTCCTTTCTTTAATTTGGACAAAAGGGGCATAAGCAGGCATACAACCAATAAACAAGTATTACCACCAAGACCCCCCTCCTTTATTACTCACTTCAGCAGCTAATGCTGTGAAACATCAAGTTGATATTTAAAAATCATCATGATAAGGTTATATTATGAAACATAACAAAAGAAACTTATTACATCATAGTTTATTATTGCAAAATAGTAAAGATTTTTTACTGGTGACTTCACAGGGTTTTAAAAGTCACCAACCCTGAAACTGGTCATCTCATCTCTGACCAACTTTCCAAATGCTTCAAGTTCATGACTGAAAATCATTTTCCTGGAAACATGAGTACAACACATTAAAATTATTAATAGCCTATGCCAATGAGGGCATCTGGGCTAAAAATTACCCAAATTCGGGTATTCTAGAGTAACAATCAAGATTCCATTTGCAATCAACAATGCTTTAATTCAGCTGAGTACTAATAACCTCAATATCATTTTTCCATGTTAATGTAATCAATGCTGACCAATCAGAACTATCTTCTTATTTTGTGGTGGGAAAAAATAAACTACAAAACCTCATGTACAAAACCCCAGCTTCTACTAGATAAGAGGGGAAAAAAGCAACAATGGAAAAATCTTTTGAAGTTTGACATTTAAAATAACTATAAAACAACCAGTGCTCAAGCTACTCTTTGAGGACTCAAAGGGTATTGCTCTGCTTTTGAATGCATAATATCTACCCCAGTTCTAGTAAATATCACAGCCGAACAGTTCTAATCGAAGAGTAATGCCTTGATTCCATGACTTGGGGATGAAACGGATGAACCGGGAAAAGATGGGAGGGTTGAAAAAATTCTTGACCTGTCCTTTGGGATTAACATTTCCCACAAAAATCTGAAAAGAAAGAATAAGAAAAGAATTAGTGCTAGAAAGGCATACAGAAAGATATACAGAGAAACTCTTTATGCCCTTTAATTCAGATGGGGGTGTTTGCAGCACTTCCTGTCCTCCTTCTCTTCCTCCTTGTAGAATGAAGATGCTTTTCTGACCTCATCATAGACTTTGCCTGGGCATGTGTGTTTCTAGGTTGAATTAGAAGATGAAGGAAGCTAATAAAGAGGAAGGGTAGGTAGCTAGAGCTTCAGTAAAGACATTTCTCCAGTTAGGAAACATTAACTTGTTTGTTTGTTTAAAATTGAATAGAATTGTTTAGAATTGAGACAGCACAATGTTGGGCTTAGGGTTGAAAGACTTGGGTTCAGACCATAGCTCTGCTGCTTACTAGCCATGTGATCTGGAACAAGTGATTTAACCTCTCTGAACCTCAGTCTCCTCATCTGAAATTGAGGATAATAATAGTTGTACTATCTCCTAGTTTTGTGGGGAAGACCAAATGAGATAATTATGTAACTATAAATAGCTATGTGACTGCTGACTCTTATTAGCCAGTGTCTAGCAGTATGCCAAGCTATATGAATAAATGAAGGGATGTCCTGTTTCTACCACCAGAGCTGCTTGAGGGCAGAGATTTCTTTGTATCCCAATACTTAACCTATTGCCTAGCTCATAGCAATGCCTTGCTCTGTAAATGTTTGCTGATGACATGTATTTTTCCTCTTCTGGGAATGGCTACCCTCACTGCTGGCAATAGCTAATGTAACCTTTGAGTAGGACCTCTAACACAAGGAACTAGTTAAGGAAGCTGTTCATAACACAAGAAGAAATTAGAGGCATGATATAGCAGGTCAGCTTTAAGGATCCCTGCTTTCCCACACCCTGTAGTGGAAGACCTTACTTGTTGCTTCAGAATCAATATCACACAAAAGTTTATTATCAGTGTATGTAGAATTTAATTAAATAATAAAAATCCTCAGAATAATTAGTGACAATATTAATCATCTCAAATCCTAATACTTTTATTCAGCTACCAAAAGCTGTTATGTTATTCACCTGTGCACTAGTCTGTGGAACTTTAAATGTGTGTGTGTGTGTGTGTGTGTGTGTGTGTGTGTATAAATAAAACATATATCTCAAGTGGCATAGTGATTTATTGCAAAGCCTTTTTAATTTGATTTTCACCAAATGATATAAAAAAGAATGATTTTTATGTAATAATAATACTACTAAATCTTCAAACACTATTTTGGGGAGGGGCAAGGCAATTGGGGGTTAAGTGACTTGCCCAGGGTCAAACAGCTAGGATGTATCAAGTGTCTGGTCTGAGATTGGATTTAAACTCAGGTCCTCTTGACTCCAGGGCCACTATGCCACTGTGCCACCTAGCTGCCATCTTCAAACACTATTACCCCTCCAAATAAAAATGGTCTTTACCCAGTTCACAATTGAACCAACTTAAATATAGAAAGTACCAGTAACTCACTGTGTGAACTTGGGCAAATCACTGACCTCTAGTTGGTTTCTCAGTTAGCTTGTGTTTAAAATTCAGGGGTTGGACTATATGACTTCCAGGTTTCTTTCCAGCTCTAAAATTCGGTTTCTAACCCAAACCTAGAGTTACAAGGCCAGGCAATGGTGAAAGAGGGATTTAGATATCATTTTCCTAAGTACCTACCTTAGGGGTTGCATTATTATCTCTTTGCTAAGACATCACATTGTACCTTTTCCGTCATGGACGACTTGTCCTTGTAAGGTTTCCATTCTGTGCCATGATCGCTGTAGAAGATAGCATAAGTCATCACGTACATTTCATTTGAGAAAGACTTGGCCCCTTGGGTTACAATCGCTGTTATTTTCTTGGTTTTGAGCAGGTCTATCTGCAGCCACTGCTTGTTGTTGTTTGACTAAGAAAGTTAGAAAGACAGTTTGGTGAGGCGAGAGCTTTTAGGTGCACAGTATTTATAGACGTGGATCATAAAGGGAGAGACGAAAGGATGGGGGATTCTTTGTGTGCTATTTCAGATGGATCATGGAGGTGCACAGTATTTATAGACATGGATCATAAAGGGAGAGACAAAAGGATGGGGGATTCTTTGTGTGCTATTTCAGATGGATCGTGGAGGTGCAGAGTATTTATAGATGTGGATCATAAAGGGAGAGACAAAAAGATGGGGGATTCTTTGTGTGCTATTTCAGATGGATCGTGGATTCATAGAAGACTTTAGGGCATATGATTTCTGTCTTGAAATAGCTGAAAAGCTGGCACAAGGAAGAGGGATTAGATATTCCCAGAGGAGAATAAAGAACAATAGGTAGATGCTGCAAAGAAAAACTTCCTTAATAATTGGTTATACAAAATGTGGGATGCACTGCCTCCCGAGGGTCCTTCCTGACTGGGGGTTTTTAAACCAAGGCTGGTTGTCCACTAGCACGGTAGGTTATAGAGGGGCATCTTGTATAGGTAGTGATTGATGCCCACTGGATGCCCACTGAGATCCTGTCCTACTTTTTGATGCTCTGAGAGATAACATCCCTCCTTTTAGGCAGGTTTGCCAGAAAAGCCTAGTAATGATTTTTAGAGAAAGAAGATGGTGCCCTGCTTCAGGCAAATGCTAGCCACCACCCTGAAATTCCTTGCACCCTTGAATTTCTGAGTTCCAACCAATTCCTCTCTCCATTTCTGCTCCCAGGCTGCTGGGTGTTACTGGAGAAGCCAAGAAATAACACTAATCTCATCCAATGTAAATTTATTGCATAATCTCAGCTGAACATTTGTTGTTGCCCAGAAATTCTTTTAATCAGCTCTTACTGACACCATATCATATCCCCAGTGGAAGTTTTGGCGCCCTTTCCCTACTCCTAAGCTTCACACACTCAAAGTAAATTGACCTCCTCTCTTCTGTTATTGAAATCAAAGCTATGTGATCTTAGTTCCCTCAATTTTGCAGCATTATAGGATTTTTCAGCTGGAGGATATCTTAGAGATAATTTAGTCTTACTCCCTCATTTTACAAATGAAGAAAATGAGACCCAGAAAGTTTAAGTGGATTGCCTGCAGTAGAACACTCAGTAATGAATAGCCAGAATTCAAACCCAGGTCCTCTGACTTGAAATCCAGTGTTCTTTTCATTACACAAGTTACTTCCACTTTCTCCCCCATATTAAAACTGCTCTGTGCCTTCACCTGTCCTGTCTTCTTTTCCTTCTCAAAAACCAACTCCTTACCAAGGCTAACCTATCCAACTATTCACATGCACCCTTAATTTGGCCCTTTATTATCTCCTCTAGGACCTTATTCCATCAATCATTCATTCTTGTTTTTATAATTTTAATCTTTCCTCTCTGCTGGTTTTTTTTTTTGCCCTTTGTCTATGAACAAGCTCATATCTGGATGAAGAAATAAACTAAAAACCCTTCTAATAAAGCCTTATACCCAATGATATGCTGGTTAAATAACAGACTCTCTGAAAAAAAAATACCCATGGCATACTTCTACTTTTAATCTGCATTATAAACATTTTCTCCATCACTTTCTTAAGTCTAAGCAATTGACCAGCTATAAATGAAGCCCTGATTTGTAGCATTTGCTGATTTCTGAAATGTAAATAAATGCTTGCATGGAATATTTAATAATCAGCTCTCTGGAGCCAGCATCACCTGGCTTCAATACACACCTGCCCATATCCCATATCTCTCCCAGACTTCTTCAAAGTAGTTCAAATAATGACTTATATTCTACTTCCTAGCTACACACTCACTTTAAAGGGCACTTGCCAGGAAATAGTCAACAATGTCAAACATTGTGGAGAGATAACGCACTGCGACTGAGAAAAAAAAAGCCATTGTATTTGGCAATCGAGAAATAAGCAGTGATTTGGGAAGAGGCGTTTCAGCTGAGCTGTGGGGCTGGAAACCAGCTTGCTAGGAGTCGAGAGGTGAGTGGGAGGTTCTGGATCCCTTTTTTCTTCACTTGTAAAATGAGGACATTCGACTAGTTGATCACTACAGATCCTTCTAGCACTAAAATCCTATACTCCTCTGTCCCATGCATTTGCTTCTCTCTGCCTTGGCTCGTGCCATTCATTCCCTGGCTGAGAAATGCCCTTTTCCTCTTTCTCCCTATCACATGACTCCCTTGTTTCCTCTCAATCAGAAACTAGATAGAATCCAATCAGAATCCCAAGCAAAAACAAGATAGAAAGATAGAAACTATCTTTCCTGCCTTTGATCCCGAAAAGTCCTAGGTTTATACCGTTCATACACTTAGCACATTCTGTTTTTATACTGCAGTTATTTGTATATGTGTTTGTCTCCCATACTTGGTTTATAAGCTCTTTGGGAAGCAGCTACTGGGTTTCCATTTATCTCTATGTCCAACAGTGTTCTTGTCCATTTTTAAAGAGAGGGTGTGGTCTTCAGTGTTCTGGGCCTGAAGTCAGGAATATCTAATTCCAATTCTAGCTTAATATACTGACACACTGTGTTACCTTGGGCAAGTCATTTAACTTCTCTCTGCCTCAATTTCCTCAAATGTACATGGGAATAATAATAACACAGTACGGAGTTGTTGTGAGGATCAAGTGAGCACTTAACTTTGTGAATCACGTAACACAGTGCCTGGCACATAGTAAGTACTTAATAAATACTTATTCCCTTCCTTTTTTCCCATTTGTCATTATATATAACTGTGGGAAACTCCTGGAGTGAAATCTCCCTCCACTGATGCAGGCTGGTAAGTAATCTGGAATACTGGTTGTATTAGGCCCTAGCTAAATGTTTGGTGAATTGAACATCCCCTAAATGGAACCCTAAGAGCTGGACACCCAGTCAACAAGCATTTATTAAGCACCTACTAGTGTGCAATAGATAAATAGGTAGAGCATTTATTAACTATTTATTATGTGACAGGTACTTTGCTAAGCCCTGGATACACACACACACACACACACACACACACACACACACACACACACACACACACTGCTATGTCTTTAGCCATTGAATAGTGATGGATGAGTTTTGCATCCTTTAGGGTGGAACTTGACCCCCTCCCCTATGTAAAAAAAAAAACCCAAAACTTCCTTAATGTTTTCTTCTCACACTAATAAAACAGGACCTTTGTCAAAATGACAGCAGCTCAGCAACATTTCCATCCATGTCCACTTCATGAAGGGTGTGTGTGTGTGTGTGTGTAATTTTTTCCCCCTAAAAATCCAACAAGGGTGAAAGAGCAGGGTGAGCTTGGCTGGCTATGGGAATAGCTCCGGGGTGACAGGCAGAGCTTCCTCTGCAATGCTACACTAAGAAGAAAAAGTTCATTATTTCCCCCGATACATATACATATAAAAACATAAACATGTATACATATACATATAACATATATAACACACCCACACACCCACATATATATATATACATATATATATGTATATATATATATATATATACATATATATATACACACACACACACACATATATATAAAAAACACTGTTAGTTGTCCTGCTTTGATAAGGATTCTGACAAGCACATCACCTACCACCTGGGAGAGAATTCAGTCTTGCAGTATCTATGGCTTAATCAGAGATACTGCAGGTAAAGATGACCTCACCCCAGATCCAGCCTTATTTAGATGATGAATGAGGGAGGATTAGAGGGGGCAGATGAAGCTCAGTGAGTGACAGGGTTATTAGAACAGAATCTTTGGGAGATTCCGCCTGTCCTGTGAAGTGAACTAAATATATTTAGAGCAATGATTCACTGCCTTTCGGAGTTGCAACACCACAGTGTTGTTTATTTGACATACCCATTCCACCTTCTTCTCCTGCCCAGCCCTTGCTAATAAAAGTATACACTCTATGGAATGAAAATGTAAAGAAAATGAAAAATTTTGTTTGGGGAATTTCAAAAATTCACAACAATCTTTAAAATGGTTAGAGGCACTTTGGAGTCCTCTAAAAATCATGGCTTGATAACACTGATTTAGAAAATAGCAGCTATAGGATTTTGGTTGGGAAGAAAAAAGGATACCAGAGAAATGTAAGTTAAGAGGAGATGGCTAGATATAGAGAGATCTTTCTTTGATTTGTAATCCCCCTAAATAAAGGAGTACAAGGGAGAAGAATTTTAAAACCTGGATGCATAACTTTTATCAACTCAAGTGATTTCAGAAATTAAAAATCAAAATGAATTTTTCACTACTGTTGGTTTTATCACATAGGTCTGGGTACCAGGTATAAATTTGAGGTGGATTTGATAAGACAAATAGTGTATGAAGTGAAAGAGTCAGGAGAGGGAATTTTGTGTGACCCTAGATAAATGCCTTCACCTCTTTGGGTCTCAGTTTCCAATCTGTCAAATGAGGAAGGTGGATAAGATGATCTTGTAGGGTTCTTTCTGCTCCAGTATTCTATGATGCTATGACCCTATATGTATTTTGATCTAAAGGTGAAATTCCTAGATGTGTCTGGTTCTTCTTAGAACATCAGAACTCAGTGCAGAGTCACCCTTTAGAGTTATGTACTTTTTTTTTTACTTCATGTATGGGGAAACTCCCTATGCCTTCCTAGTGATTTCCTCTGGGGGAAAACTCCTGGAATGCTGTATAGGGTTCAGAGACTAGCGCTTCAGGCATCTGAAGAGAAGGAAGTGCTCATTGTTTAGGTTTGCCAGTTTTCTGTAAGGTTATCTACCTAATTTTGACTGCACAGCAATGTGGAAGAGAAAACTAACCCCCCCCCAAATGTGTCAAAGATGAACATTTATACTCAGACCAATTGTCCCCAATATATCTGATCAACCTCTTCTTTCATCAAATATCCACAATTTCATTGGTGTGGGTACTTCCTCTACTGATGTGTACTTACAATTCCTCTAAGCCTTAGTAGATGGTTTCATGAATTGTAATTTTTTTAAAAAAATCATCTGCTGACCAACTCTCTGGGGATGGATCTTTCCCACTTTAGCTAGGCTAGGCTTAGATTGATGCTGGACTTGTATCTGAAGACTCTTTAGCTTGGCAGGACCTGCCCAAGTTCTAACCTTGTTGACACTGACTTCAAGAACCCAAGGTCACTTCATGCCACGATGAGGGATCAGAGGAAGACTTTAATGGTCGATGGACTCTCATCATTGGTCATATTAGCTCTTTGAAATGTGTTTGATCAATGGAAGGAAGCACTTAGACTGGTTTGAGAACAGCAGTGATCGCACAGGGGATTATGATATTGAAACAATACAAAATCAATTCAGAGATTCAGATATCTAGAGCTGGAAGACACCTGAGAAGTCATCTGGTCCAACCCTTTTTATTTTACAAATGAGGAAACTGAGTCAGAGAAGTTCAGTGATTTGCCCAAGGTCAAATAGTAAGAAGAGCTGAGAATCGAATTCAGGTCCTATGACTCTATGTTCAGCATTCTTTCCACTGCACCATCCTACCTATGTTTTAATTTTTAAAACTAACAGCACATGGTCCTTTTAAAAAGAGTAAAATTGTTAGATTCACTAAGTTAATCATATAAGTTAATAATAATATTTATATAATATATGTATTTATATATAATTATATAGTTAACAACAATAATAAATTAATTCACTAAGCTTATCGCAACTCTGAAAAGTTTAGAAATCATCAATGATACATAAAAGTTAAACCCCTCAGATGTGTGCAGGTCAGAAATTATTTTTCTCTAATCCAAATATAAGTGCTATAGCTACCACGTTCTCTAGAATTTTAATAAGTATAAACAGGAGACATGGTTCCTGTTAACAGAGTCTCTTTGTCATGTCTACTACAGTTCCTTTTTTTTTAACCCATGAGAACTTGGACACAACCGTTTGCTGTGGAGATTTTACCTTGGCTTGCCAGGCATTCACGCGACCTTGAGCATTGAGACGGGCATAGAAGGGTGACCAGTAACCTCCCAACAAAGATTTTTTCATTGATGAAGCTGTAATCTGATTATTTTCTATCTTTTGGCTTTCCATACCCAGAGGTGTGGAGCAACCTGTCAAGGGGAGATCACCATGATTTAATTAACAAACATTCGTTGAGCTGTACTGTGTTACAAGCTATGTGGCATACAAGAAATGCCTGACATGGCCCTTGCGTTCAGAGAATGTATGGTTAAGAGAATCATGAAAAACTTAAAAGGTCATTGAGTCTAGAATAGACACTAGTTTTCAGGAAAGGTGCATGTTTCTAACATTTGGGACTTTACTGTGGTTTTAAACCAAAATTATAGAAAAAGATAAAACTGTAGTTTCCCTTGAGGGAGATACCATGTTCACCTTTATCTGTTCTACTAGGAAATATGACTTCGTCCTCCCTCTGTGGTACCAAGATACATGAGAATAGAGATGGAAGGATTAGTGGATGAGAAAACTCATTCATCCTTGTTACATAGAATTTTTGCTTCTTTAACATATTTCATGTGGATTTGGACATACCTGGGCTTGCAGCCAAGGCACCAGCCTGAGCTCCTCACTATCCCTCATCCCCCAGTGAGTTCCCAAGTCCTGTCATTTCTACCTTTATAACATCTCCTCCCTCTCCGCTGTGGCACTGCCTGCCCCGGGGCAGCCCCTTTATCACCTCAAACCTAGATTATGGCCAGAGCCTGCTAGTTGCTCTCCCCAAGCCAGGTCTCTCCTTACTCCAGTGTACTCAGCTATCACATTGATCTTCTTAAAGCTGAGGTCTGACCATGTCACTCCTCTCTCTCCATCTCCTATTCAGTCAATTCTAGTGTCTACCTGTTGCCTCCAGGATCAAATATAAAATTGTCTCTTTTGCTTTTTAAAAATCCTCCATAATCTGGACCCTTCCTATCTTTCACATTGTCTTATTCCTTACACTTCCTCCTACCTCCTCTCCTCCCCCACCCTGATACCTACTTTGCAATCCAGTGACACTGGCCTTCATGTTGTTTTCTCTCTCTCTCTATCAATTGTGGGCAGTTTTACTTGCTGTTTCCAAGCCTGGGACTCTCTTCCTCCTCATCTTCTCCACCTGGCTAGCTTCTGTGGTTTCCTTTAAATTTCAGCTAAAATGCCATCTTTTCTAAAAAGGCTTTTCAGGGCAGCTAGGTGATGTAAACAATATCTCATTGAAGAAGGTTTACAGTAATTGTGGGAGGTTAGGTATTACTATTCTCGCTTTATAAGGAAAAGTCTTCAGAGTTTAAGTGACTTGCCTCTGGTCACATAGCTAATAAATGTCATGTATTTTATCTACTGTATAATGTTGCAGTTAGGGTTACAGGGTAAGTCTGAATATTTGGGATTTGTAGTTGGTTTTGGGACCTGGTTAGACAAAACAAAACAACAACAACGACAAAAAAGACTGTAGAAATAATGAACAAAACTAAAAGCTTGTTCCTTGACAAGACTACCAAAGAACTGATAAAACTTTAGCCAATATGATTAAAAAGGAGAAGGCAGAAATTCAAATAGATAAACCACAAGATGGAATCATGACAAAACAAGAAAAAGTAAAAAGAATTATGGGAACCTACTATGTAGTGTTACATGCTAACAAAACTAAGAACACAAAAGAAATAGAAGAATGCCTTCAAAAATATAAAATATTCAAATGATAGAAGACCAAATAGAGATCTTAAGTAATCCAATTTTGAAAAGGAAACAGGACTAGCTATAAAGGAATTGCCCAAAGGGAAAAAAAAATCACCTCTTGGTCCTGATGGATTTTCAGGGGAATTCTATCAAACTTTTAAGAGCAATGAATACTAATCAAATTATTCTCAGAAACTGAGAAAGAAATACTCTACCAAACACTTTTTATGAGAAAAATATATTTCTAATACTTAAACTAGGGAAAGATAAAGAAAAGAATGATAGACTAATATCAATAATGAATACAAATTCATACTTTTAAATAAAATCCTTTCAAGTGAATTATAGCAATTTATCAAAGGAATCATTCATCATGACTCATTTTAATTTATACAAGGGATATAAGGATGGTTGAACACTAGGAAAGCGATCATCATAATCATATTAAAAAATGAAAACATACTAAACCTGAATTAATCTATTGTTGAGAAGTCATCATAATCAAATATTGTTCTAGTCTGAAATGGGCACAGTTTCAGGGGATACTCCCTTTGGGACAAGTATGTGTGAACACTTAGAGTGACAGCAGGTGACACTCTGGTTGACAGACCAAGAGGTGAGACCAAGATTCCAGTGCAGATGGCACACTTCCCTCTCATCTGAAGCCTACCATTCTAGGCACGGTGATAGCTTAGTCAGAGGTGGGGAACCTGTGACCTGGAGGCCACATATGGCCTTGGGTGTGGCCTTTTGATTGAGCCCAAGTTTTACAGAACAAATGCTTTTATTAAGGGGATTTGTCTGTGAAGTTTGGATTCAGTCAAAGGACAGCACTTGAGGACCTAGAGGGCCACATGTGGCTGGAGGACACAGGTTCCTACCCCTCTGGGGGAAGACCAATACTCCCTAAGTTCAATCCATACTTCAAAATTTCCATTTCGGGTTGTGGATAGAGTGTTGACGCAGATTTATTAGAACAGCATTCATGTTCCATCTCTAAAGCTAACTAAGTGTATGACATAGAAGAGTCACTTAATTTGTTTAAGTTTTAGTTTCCTCATATGCAAAATGGGGATAATAATGCCTGAGGGACCTACCTAGCTCACAGAGTTGTTGTGGGGCTCATGAGCCCCACATTTCTCAAAATAAAATAAACATTTTATTTATTTTATTATTTATTGTAATATTTATATTTTCAATATTATAGATACCATTTAATATATCTATCATTTAATAACAACAAACATACACTTACATGTTTTATTATATATTTAACATAATTATATTATATATTTAATAAATCATGTTTTATTATTGATTTAGTAGAACTATTTATTATATTTAACATACTATTTAAGACAGTATATTTTATTGTTTAATGATACTTAATAAAACATATTTTATCATATATTTAATATGGTAGTATATTTTATTCTATACTTAATACTATAGCATATTTTATGTTATATTTAATATAATAATTATATTATTTTACATCTCAAATAAAATGTGATGTAAGTTTACTCTTATTCCTCCTTCTTTTCTCCTATTCCCTCCTCATCCTTCTTGCCACACAAACTGTTGGACACACTGAAAACTGGAGCAATCTTCCTAAGTCACTGAAAATAATTTAGCAGTGATGTGTTCTACCAAACCTGTTTCTATGCCTAGTGGAGGAAGAGCCAGTAAATCCTCATTCCTTACCTTGGACCTCACAGCCCAACAATTCCAGACGGAGGGTAGGTCTCTTGTAGGAATGGGTTGGGGAGATCCGAATGTATTTAGCCACAATGGGTGGGTCAAAGAGATTTTCTTTGATGGTGGAGGCATCTGAATTACCCTCAAAGTACTAGAAGGAAAAAGCAGGGACAAATCATTAAAAAAAAAATCCTCTCCTTTGTAATCCTATCTATTTTATTACATGTGTTTAAAAACATTATTCTGAGGAAGAATACATAGGCTTCACCAGATTGCCCAAGGGGTCTATGGAAGAAGAAAAAAAGTTATGACCATTGGGGCATAGCTTGATCATCTCCCCTTAGAGGCCTTTCATGAGCTGTTATGTGTTAGCCTTCTCTTTCTCTTGACATCACTTTGTATCATTTTGTCCATTCTTTGTAGATCTCAATCCATGTCCAGGTCATATGCTCCAGTAGAATACAGCCCCTGTGAGGCCAAGAAGAACTTCATTTCTGTCTTTGTAGCCCCAGTAAGCAGCACAGTGCCAGGCACAGAGTAGGCATGTAAACCCTGTTGAGGTGGATTCCATTTCCAAATCTACAGAGGGGATGTTAGCACAGGTCTTCTAGAGTTTTGCTATCTTGAAAACCTGACTCTGTTATTCCAGGGCAAAGACAGCCAATTCCTTTGAATAGTCTTTTATTTGTGGTCTAGTATCACAGAAAAGAGTTGGGTTGGAGGGCAAAGAAGAATTCTTCCAGTCAGCTTTGTGGAAACTGAAACTGATGTAGTCTACTTTAAAATTCTGGAAAGTGTCTTAACCATAGGATACCTTGCTTATTTCCCCCAACAGATTAATGCCTTCTCTCCCTAACTACTCTGTATTTAACTAATTTGTATTTATTCTGTACATATATACAATGTCTTTCCCGGTAGAATTTAAGGTCCTTGAGAATTCTGTTCGGTTGTTTCAGCTGTGGCCCCATTTGGGGTTTTCTTGGCAAAGATGCTGGAGAGGTCGGCCATTTCGTTCTCCAACTCATTTTATAGATGAGGAACTGAGGCAAACAGGGTTAAGTGACTTGCCCAGGGTCACACAGCTAGTAAGTGTCCGAGGCACTATTTGAATTCAGGTCTTCCTGACTCTAGGTTTGGCCCTCTAGTCACTGTGCCACTATAGGGCACTGACTTTGTATCCTGGTATCTAGCACACAGCAGGAACTTAATAAGTGATTGCTGACTGACTTATTGCTGAAGTCTGCATGGTTGACACTTCCTTATTTGCTATTTAACCTTAGAACTGAAATCAATAAAGAGGACCTCCATATTCACTGTTATTGGAATGAATATAAGCCTCTTTGCATTTGAAAATGAAATGGATCTAAGCTTGTGTTTCAGGGTTCATTTTGTTGGGGAGGTCTACCACAAAAAAACTTGCTGCTTACCTTTTCTTTTCATGAAATGTTATAGAAAAATGGGCCAAGGACATTTAAATGTTGATGAATGTTTGTAGACTCTACCATCTAGCTTCTTATTTAAAATTGATGCCTATGCCAGCCCTACCTCCTCTTAATAGAAACAGAATAATTTCCTAGGGTATTATGATAACACTTTGCCCTCCTTACGTGGCATTCAAATCATAACATGAAATTTTTTAAAGCATGAAGATTAACTTAGCAAGAATGAATGCAAACTCCTTGAGGTCTAAGAGCATGGTTCTCTTTGTTTTAGCCTGTTCTATTGTAGAGTGCCTGCCATGGGGAGAACACTTGGGTTTCTGTTAATAATCAGGGAAGTAGCACAGTACAGTGGCAGACAACTGACCTTTTGTCTGGGAAGACTGGGGTTCATGTGCTGCTTCTGATGAACCTAGGATATATAACGTTGACCTGTCAGGGCTCTAGGAACTTAAGATTTTAGATCCACATTGGTACAGGTCATTTCCTTACCTGAGAGTTCACCGTATCACTGAAATCATAAGTTTGGTTCCTATGCGTTTGGTCATGTTTTCTAGATTGGGAGCTCTCTGGAATCAGGGTCATATTTTTAGTGGGCTATTCATAGCACCCACCACTAAATAACTCATTTAGAAAGGGAGTTATAGCTTCTGACACCTCAAAAAGACTATTTCACAGTTACCCACCATTATCCAGAAATATATCTATCCATCTCTCTCTGTCTCTCTCTCTCTCTCTCTCTCTCTCTCTCTCTCTCTCTCTCTCTCTCTCTCTCTGTCTATCTATCTATCTACCTACCTACCTCCTGTTTTGAAGTGCTGTTCCCTTTGAAGTACCGCCACATTCTTTTGTCAGAGCTATAGGAAACACAGAACTGGGTGGTATAGTGGGATGTCAGGTAGTGTTTGGCTCCCTGGGTCTGTATCCCAGTAAGAACAACTTCTCTTTCAAAGTCCACCTGTAATGGAAGCAGATGCATCAAATGGTCATCCTGGTCTGCAAAGTAATTAATGCTTGTTTGTTACTATATAACTTGCTCTGAAAAATGTATTCAGTTGGCTTTTCTTCAGAGCTATCTTCCATTGAGCTAGATTCTAAGCCCATTGCAGGCAGAGAGCTTGTTAGAGGCTTTCACTGTACCCTTATGTCATCTAGCACATCCAAGCCAAATATGTAGATAGAAACGGGTTGCCATAGTGGATAGATTGCTATATTTGGAGTCAGGAAGACTTGAGTGTGAATCCCACCTTAGACATTTACTTAGCTCTGAACTCTGAACAAGACATTTAACCTTTAAGCCTTAGTTTCCTCATCTGTAAAATGGGCATAATGATAGAACTTACTTCACAAGAACTATAGACTCATAGACTTATAGATAGGAGGGATGCCAGTATCTTGCCCAAGGATACATAGGCAGTAAGTAGTAGAAGCAGTATCAAATGAGGCAATGTAGGTATTTTGTAGATTGTAAATAGCTATTTAAATGTTACCTATTGCTATTATATACTTACAGAGTTACTTGAGATTCAGAGGGATTAAGTGATTTGCCCAGGGTCTTATAACTAACACATATCAAAGGCAGAATTTGAACCCAGGTCTTCCTGACTCCTGACTCTAATCCCAGCCCTCTATCTGATATGTGTGTGTGTATGTACCTACACACACACACACACACGCACATGTATATATACATATATGTATGTGTATATATGCACATATGTATATATTACACATATATGTATACACACACACACACACACACACACACATATATATATATATATATATATATATATATATATCACACACATATATATTACAGTGCTAAGACAACTAGTAGGTGCCCAAGAAATAGTTGTTGATTATCTGATTGATAAAATGAGTCCAACCTTAATTTGAGATAGAGATTTGATTTCCATTCCAAATATTAACAAGTACTAACAGAATGATGAAATGCAGCTCAAATCAAAGGGGTGCAGGGTAGTTACACACAACAGACATTGTCGTATTACTGAGGCACACCTGGATCCAAGGTTCAGACGAAGAAGAACGTGCTCGTTGTTCTACACTCCAAGCGTTGTAAGATCCACCATTGTTTAACCTCGCTAATTTAGGGTACCAATAACCTAGATTTCAAGGAAAGAAGAAAATAAGGAAGTTGAATTTGAAAAAAGATCAGGGATCCAGTGATTCTCAATTTTAGTGGAAAGCCACTTTTCCAGTAGGAAATCCTCTTCCCTCTTAGTTTTATGTTACGAGAAAGAGACAACATAGTTGGGTGTGAGTTTGAAGTGGTAACCAAATATCCTTGGCTAGCACTTACTAAGTGCCAGGCACTGTCCTAAGCTATGAGGTTACCAAGAGAGGTAAAAGCTGCTTAAGCATTGTCTTCTGCATAATGAATTTTCTGCCCAAAGGCTAATACCCTTCTCCTCCGACTAAACTACCTTGTATTTAACTACTTTGCATATATTTGTATTTATTCACTTTCTATTTAAGCTTCATATTTTTTTATATGTACTTGTTATCTCCTCCATCAGAGTGTAAGCCTCTTGTGAGCAGCGATTGCCTCATTTTTCGTATTTGCATCGTCAGCACCTAGACAGTGCCTGGCACATAGGAGCAGATGCTTAATAAATGCTTGTTGATGCATGAATTAATTGATAATCTTAAGTTCATCTACAGGCAGTCCCTGACACACAAGTGATTTGCCCACTCCTTCTGGTCCCCCTACTTTCTAAGTCCTCCAGGACCCTCAGCACCAGAACCTTAGCATCTGCTGGAAAATTTCTACCCCCACCCTCCTAAATTATCACACCTCTGTTTTTTATTCTTCCAAGCTGATTGAGAACTAATAAAGGCCATCTCAACGTAGCGAGGTGGGAAGTCAAAGCAGTTTCAACATCTGGGTAATTTAATAATTTAATAATAATAAGGCTCACATTTACATAGTACTTTACAGTTTAGAGTTTTCCTTAACTCTGCTAGTGCCAGTACTTACACCCATGGGCATCTTGCACTCTGTGGAGAAGAGGGGGAAAAAAAAGTATAGGTGGTGGTTACTGAAGTCCTTGGTGACAATGCTTCTACCTGCCTCAGCTTCCAAATATAAAGTCCTCTGACATTTAAAGATCTTTATAACCTGACTCCTTTCCACACTATTTCCAGCCCAGCTACACTGGCCTCTCACATGATCCTCCATTTCCCAATTCTTTGTCTTTGTACTGCTGTCTTCCATGCCAAGAGTACTTTGCTCACTCACCTCTACTTAGTTTTCCTGGCTTCCTTCAAAACTTAGCTTAAATCGCACCATCTGAAGGAAGTTAAGGAAGTCTGTGCTAGTTCTGTGGTGTGTGTGTGTGTGTGTGTGTGTGTGTGTGTGTGTGTGTGTGTGTGTGTGTGTGTGTGTATAGGGTGTACATACATATATATATGTATGTATACACATACATATAATATATGTGTATATGTAAGTATATATGTGTGTGTATATAATGTGAAGATAAAGCTTATTTTGGTTTTGTTTTGTTTTGTTTTTAGGAAGTCAGTGTGTGAGGGGAGAGAATGAAGGAGATACAAGAATGAGACTGAGTTGTCGTCTGCTGTGTTAAATATGTTCATTGCAATATTTAGTCCAATTATTCCACTTGTACCTACTGGTGGCACATGAAGGAGAAACAAAGAAATCCCTTGAATATCCCTGTCATCAGAGCCATGAATAGAGATTTTTGTTCTTGGGGCAAGTACCAAAAATGTCACCCAGAACACAGAAGACACTCTTAACAGGGGGACGGGGCAGACTCTCCCCAACAGGGGGATGCAGAGAACCAGGGATATGAGCCCACAAGCACTATGAGGCTCTGCTAAGGAGAAAACTTCCCCACTCTCACCCAAGAAATAGGCCATTTGCTTATTTTAACTGATAATTCCTGATAATGAAGTAATGAGGTCATTTTTTTTCTTTCACACTTGGAATCTAAGAAGATTATGGGGGTAGAGTGGCAACTCTCAAAGTAATCATTATCATAAAATATTAATGACATTCTATCTCTGGCTTAATATTCTCTCAGTACATTCGATTCTTCCCCTCATTCAGCGAATGATTCCAAGATGAACCTGTGTGGACAAGAACTCACTAGATTGTTGACTGTGGCTTCCCTGTCATCTGCATGTGCTTTCATTTGAGGTAGGGTCATATTTGAAACAAAAATTAGGGTCTTTGGTTGGAACAGAGCAAATACCTCTTTCTTGGCTTTTTATAGGATTTAGAGTTCAAAGGAATCTTGTACATCACTGGTTCTAACCCGTTTCTTTGACAGAGAAATTCAGTGTCTCAGGCAGGTGGAGTGTCCAAAATCACCCAGCTATTGTCTGGAACTGGTCAAGGTTTCAGACCCGGGATTTCAGCCCACATCCTCTGACTCCGAGGCGTGTTACTTCCCATAATGCAGTACCCCTTCCATATGATTTGTGTGAATTAAGATTGCCAGGGGTTATTTTAAGAGGCAGTGTGGGGGTGGCTAGGTGGTGCAGTGGATAGAGCACTGGCCCTGGAATCAGCAGGACCTGAGTTCAAATCTGGCCTCAGACACATAACACTCACTAACTGTGTGATGCTGAGCAAGTCACTTAACTCCAATTGCCTCACCAAAAAAAAAAAAAAGAGGAACTGTGGCAGAAAGTTAGTAGCTTTAGACTCGAGTTTGAATGTCAGCTCTGATACTAGCGAAATGACCTTGGGCTCATCACTTAACCTCTGACCATCTGTTTCCTTATGTGTAATCTGAGATAGCTACATACCTATTTAACAGGTTTGCAGTGAGAAAGGTGCTTTGTAATTCATAAAAAGCTATTGGAATATAATGATTATTAATATCTCTCAGGGTTGAGTTAAGGAAAACTCTAAACTGTAAAGTACTATGTAAATGTGAGCCTTATTATTATAATAAGAAATAAAGCTTTTCCTTCACGTAAGTAGAGCTTCAGAGCCCTAGTTCTATCCCTTTCTCTCACAAAAAAGTCTTCTGTGACCTGGGGCAAATTTCACACAGACACATCACAACTGGATCACAGACTGGATTCAACTTCCCAAGAAGAAAAAAATATTGCTGATATTGGTGTTCACACTTACCCAAATACTCAGATGCACTTATCTGTGAATCAGCTATAATGCCAGTACTTACACCCATGGGCATCTTGCACTCTACGGAGAAGAAGGGGGGAAAAATATAGGTGGTAGTTACTGAAGTCCTTGGTGACAATGCTTCTACCTGCCTCAGCTTCCAAATATAAAGTCCTCTGACATTTAAAGATCTTTATAACCTGACTCCTTTCCACACTATTTCCAATCCAGCTACACTGGCCTCTCACATGATCCTCCATTTCCCAACTCTTTGTCTTTGTACTGCTGTCTTCCATGCCGAGAGTACTTTGCTCACTCACCTCTACTTAGTTTTCCTGGCTTCCTTCAAAACTTAGCTTAAATCCCACCATCTGAAGGAAGCCTTTCCCAATTCCCCTAGCTGCTGATGCTTTCTCTTTTAATATTACCTTCCATCTCTCTCTCTCTCTCTCTCTCTCTCTCTCTCTCTCTCCTCTCTCTCTCTCCTCTCTCTCTCTCTCTCTCTCTTCCCCTCTATGTATGTATGTATGTATGTATGTATGTATGTATGTATGTATGTATCTATCTATCTATCTATCTATCTATCTATCTATCTATCTCTCCATAATCTCATGTGTGTACTTAGCTATTTATTTATTGTTTCTCCCATTAGAAAGTAAACTTCTTGAGGACAAGGACTATTTTTTGTCTTTCTTTGAATCCTCAGTGCTTAGCACAGTATCTAGCATATAATAAGAACTTAATTAATAAATACTTGTTGACTTATTGACATTATCTTAAATACTTTAGAGCATGACAGATGAAGTGATATCATTACTCTTGAGAAGTACATCTAGTCAGTAGGAATAGTCCTGCAGCAGGGGTAGGACATAAGGCACTTGAAAGACCAGTATGGGAGAGTTTATGACTTAGTTTCAATCTGCTTGAATCTTAGAACAACTATTCTCACTTGAACAAGTTCACTCTCTTATAGCTATTCTGAGGGTGTCAAGGCTACCAAAACTGAGCATGAAAAGAAATGCCAACCACTGCCTGGGTAGGATGTCCTGATGGCCGGTGTTGAAACTATCAATGCCAATTCATAGCCTGGATCGTCACAGTAACTGTCAGATTTCCTGGAACTTCCTCACCAGACCTCTTGGGAAACCCTAGCAATTTCTGAAAGTGTTTGTTTAGCTTGGAATTATAAGTTTATCATGTTGTTGAATGAGCATATGAAGATAATTTAGTCACCAATCACTAAGGAGAATATATGGTTTTAGATAATGGGCATGGGTTTATGCTCTTTTTCCTGGCTTCTGTGTGACCAGTGCTTCTAATTTATGAAACAGATGACCTCTCAGTTGTGTGGTCTATGTCTATGGAACAGAGAAAACCAAATGACCCAGGCATGAACCAGACACAATTTTGTTGTCAGTGGCATCATGTTCTAATTAACTGAGCCATCGTATAATAATTAGTCTCCTACAGGAAAGACTGAGTGACTATTTCAAAGTCTTCTCGCCCATAAATATGCAGACAACTTCATAGTAATACCTATGGATTCCTAGAATTTGTCTTTTCTCCAGAGTTCTGTAATTGATACTTTCATGCTGAATATATCATGCTATACACACACATTGTACCTTGATCTATTATAAGGAACGGTGTTTGCATTCCTGCTATCTGATTTTCTCCAACCTCAGTGTCTAAGAGCCATAAGCCAGGTCTTGAAGCTTTCATTTCAAAAGTCTTAAATGAACCTAAAATGGAGAGGACAAAGTTAAACCTTTAAAATGTTTGCCTTTCTTTGTCTCCCCAGTCCTTTGCACAGTAAATGACACGTAACAAATACTTAATGTGTGTTAACTGACTGAATACAATGTTGGTCAACAGTCATTGGAGGAACTTAACAGTCTCTCATGCTCTTGTCTGCAGACAGAAACGAGGATAAGGCCTAGAAAAATAGTAGGAAAACTAGGTACTGGAATCTCTGTTTTTCTCCATAGATCTTCTTTTGGATATACTTTCATCCATCAAGTAAAAATGGAAAATACACCAAATGTTTTCATGTTTTTTTTTCTGACATTCACTTCTCTAAATATAGCAAAATGATCACTTTATGAGCAAAGTAATCTGAATTGCAGTCTACGTTCTTAAACAAAATTACTTTAGATCAACAAAGGTTCCAAATAAACACTGCTTTCCTACTCCATTTTTGTGCGCCCCATCCACCCAGCACCACCAATAAAAAAAAAAAAAGGAAACTTTTCCCCCCATGGCTTTAAAATTTTCCAAAATTTTGCATCTTTAGGCAAGACTACAGCTGTCCCACTCTAAAATCTCAGGGAAGGATATTCCATAATTTTTCCTGTTTACCCACTCTGTTATTTCTCAAAGCTCATGGCCAGGAAATCCTTTTAAAATCTCTTTTATCACAAAGTTCTGTTTCTTACATTCTGTTCTTGATGGCTTTCTACTGGTTACCCCATTTTTCATAACTACTCATGAAACCAGTCAAGACTGTCTTTAGCCATCTCTTTTCCAGGAGAAACATAGCTTGTCTAAATTATTAGGTTGGAGATCCAACCCCAGAGTCTCATTTTAAGTCCAAGTAAAAGAGTTGCACATTTGCTGGCGTAGCATTTGTGGCATGGGACCCTCTCGCTCCATTCTACCTACTCTCCCTCTCTGGGATGTCTCAATTAATCCAATCTACTTTCGTACTGGCTGGGTTCCAAGAGAAAGACCGCAACCATTTAATTATGATTTAATATTCTATCAGGATCCTAGGGGTAACCCTGTTAGGAGTGGGAAATAAACACATCCCTCACAACTATCATTCTGAGTCCCCATTAAGTCACTATGACACCATTAGCTCTTAAGCATAAAACATTCTCTTAACAACAAAGAATGAAAAGCATGAATAATTGTAATGCCACAGTCATTTAAAATAAATCAAGTGCAGCAATAATCAAAATATCACAGCCTACCAATAAATCAGGTCACACTCTTATGTCATCCTGTGGAGGATACAGGCATCACAATTATAGAAACCCAGTAGGGAGGAAAGTGAGTGAGGAAACTCATATACTCGGGAGCAACTCACAAGTTTGGACTATAATTCTTGATATCTTTGCCTTTTGGGAACAACCTATTCCAGGAAGCTTCTCTGCTAGCTGCTCCCTTTCTGGTCTTCATCACTCTCCTGCTGCAAAAATCCACTCTGCTCTTGAGTTGGTGAAGCAGGGACATCTTTTAAGTAATAACCACTCTTAAAAGGGCTGTCAAGAAAGTGTTGTGCTATTGTAATGATGAGCAATTCGCTTAATTCAGAGTACTTCAAAGCTCCTCAGGTTAGCTCTTCACTCAGTAGTTCTATTTCTTCTTCTTTTAGCAACTAAACTGCTCACATAGAAAAGTGACAGTAGCTTACACTAGCTCAAGGTAAAAAACATTAGGGAAATTAGATTCTATGTTTTGAACATTATATTGTCTTTCACTTCTCTTTGCTGAACAAGTTTTATTTCCCAGTTACACAAATAATCTCTGAAAAAATACATATATTTACACACATGCACACACATGTATATGTATGTTTGTATATATCCATATCCATATATATATATATATACATATACATGTAAAAATCTAGGATCATTTGGCCTTCTCTGCCATGCATAGTGCAATATGCAATTGTCCAGAGTGGTAGTCTTTGGAAAAGGGGGAGGTAAGATAGCCAAAATAAGGCAAGATGGCCCTAGTCTTCCCCTCACATAGCTCTGACATTGACTGCCACAGCCTCCCTCACATTGTACCTTCTCTCCATCATATAAAATCTATTTGTCACTCAAGCAGTATTTTAACAAGGTGGAGAAATAAAAACAATTTAAGATCGTAAACTTGCATGAGGCAGGAACTGTGTCTTTATAGCCCCTCCTATATAGAACCAAACATATATCAATTCATCTACCTCCATATCTGCTACATAACAGAGTAGAGAGTACTCTGAACTTGGAGTCAAGAGTCCCTGGATTAGATCCTGTCTTGTCTATTTACAGGCTATGCAACCCTGGGCAAATCCATTAATCTCTCCCTACCAGTTTTATTCCAATTTCCTCATCTGCAAAATAGGCAAAATAAATCTGTTCCATCAAATGTCCCAGAGTTGTCAGCCTCGAATGAGGTGAAGTATATAAGGTACTCCATCAGCTTCCAAGTTTGAAATAAATGTCAGTGATGACACATATCATATTTTTTTTTTCTGGCTGCCATCTTTTATTGTTAGGTCCTACTGAATGGTTCAGAGTGACCTCATAGTTCCTTCCTGATTCAAGATTCTGTAAACCTGGGTTCTGCTTGCACAGGCACTGACATTTAGGTGGTTGAGGAGAGTTCCAGTGCCAAGAAATATATTTTTAATGGTTTTGCAAGTATTTTCTTTCCATTGCCCAGAGACAACATGGTGTAGTAGAAAATATGCGGGACTTGGTATTGAGAGACCTGGGTTCTGATTCTGTCTCTCACATTACTACTTGTGTGACTATGGGTGAATCATTTAATCTCTCTAACGCTTTGGCTGTGTGTGTGTGTGTGTGTGTGTGTGTGTGTGTGTAAGTAAAATGAGACTAATAATATCTGTACTACCTACTTCCAAGGTTATTGTGAAGACCAAATGAAATGATGAATGTAAAATGTTTTACCTAAAGGAAAACATTACATCAACATCAGTTATTATCATTTACCAGGAAGCAGGGGGCAAGCCCCAAAACGGTGCAGTTGGGTTCCATTTTCCAGCAATGTCTGTCCATGAAAGTGAACCACGTGGATGTCCTGGGAACCACCCATGTTGAGCAAGTGCCATCTCACATTCTCCTTCGCATACATCCTTAGTCCTGGCAAATTGTAGATGCGACCATTGATGGCTGAAATGATACAGGGTCACAACCAATTAAAAAACAATCCAAAATGATTCAACTCACTTTAACAAATTTCTATGAAGTGCCTATTTTGTGCACAAGCACTGTGCTAGGTGCTGGAGGAGATATAAAATTTTAGACAGTCTCTGCCCTTGTGGTGCTTATTTTAAATAAGAGGATATGACAGAAATAGATAGGTTTTTTTCTTTTTTTTAAAAAAAATTCAACTTCATTTTATTTATTTATTTAGTTAGTTGTTTTTAGGCAATTGGGGTTAAGTGACTTGCCCAGGATCACACAAGCTAGTTAAGTGTCAATTATTTAGTCTGAGGCCGGATTTGAACTCAGGTCCTCCTGACTTCAGGGCCAGTGCTCTATCTACTGTGCCACCTAGATGCCCCCATTTTATTTTTAGACTAGAATTCTCTCCCTCCCTTGCCCCCTTCTCCCACTCATTGAAAAAGAAAAACAAAGCCTATTATAAATATAGTATCCAATTTCCACAGTAACAATATCCAAGAAGTTAAAAGTATATTATTTTATATATTATATATTATAAAAATAATATTATTTAATATTTAGCCATGCCAAAAAATAAAAAATAAATATGCATTAATCTGTACTCTGAGTCCATCACCCTCTATCTGGATGTGTGTAGCAAAATACAGATAATTACGACGCAAAATGTTATATTCTTTTGAGTTACAGAATGATATTTGTGAATTCTAAACAGATTATTACTAACTCAAATGGTCAAATAAGATAATAGGTTTAAAGTGTTTTGCAAACCTTAAAGTACTATATATGAGCTAGTTATCATTATTATTAACAGGAGGGATCAAGGAAGGTTCCCTGAAAGAGCTGACATTTGAGTTAGGCTATTCAGTTATGTGTTGTCTTCCTTCATTAGACTGTAAGCTCCTTGAAGGCAGAACTGTTTTTCTTTCTGTTTGTATTTATATAACCACTGCTCAGTGCAGGGCCTGACCCATAGTAAGTACTTCATAAATCCTTGTTGTCTTGACTCGATAGTTTGGGTGGATTTGGAAGTGGTTGAATGATTGTATCCCCTAAGTAGTGATTAATAGATCTATATTGATCTTAAGAGAGGTCTCTAGGGAAATATGACCCAGGGAACTATTAAACACTTTTTATCAATAACTTGGATGAAGGCTAAATTTGCAGATGATAAAAACTAGGAAGAGTAGGTCATACATTGAATGACAGAAGAAGGGCCCAAAATATTTTTAAGAAAGGGATGGATTATGGGACAAATCTAGGAAGAGGGAATTTAATAGGAGTAAACAGAAAGTCCGTACTTTCCATTTTTAAAAGTTGAAATTAAAATTAAAATTTCACAAGTATAGAAAATGGGAGGTGTGGCAACATGACCCTTCATATTCTGGCTCTTTTATACTATTTCCCATCACATGCTCTTTGTTCTAACCAAACTGCCCAATGGGCTGTTTCTCGTATATGACATTGTACCTCCTTCCTTTATACAGGCTATCTTCCACGTCTGGAATGTACAACATTCCTTTCTTAGCTATTGTCATGGTACAGCTTATGTTCTATCTCCCACATGCATCCTTTCCTCATCCTGTTGTGAGTATTCTCCCCAACACCCCCCCCCAATTATTTTGTATTTACTTCACATTTTTATTGACTTCTCTATGAATGTGCCATCCCTACTGCCCAGGAGAGTATAAGCCCTAGAGGGTGGGAGGTCTATTATTTTTGTTTCTGTATCCCCAGTACCTACTACAGTACCTACCCATACCATCAATAAGAGCTTACTGAATTGAATGGAAGTGTCAGGGAAGATATTTCCACCAGCTTATGGAAACAATAACTCTTCCCCACCTAGCCACCTCCCTTAGTCATTCACTGTCTAGCTGCCAGCAGCAAAAGGCCCTCATACCTTGGGGCTGTGTGGTGATTGTTCCAATTGGGCAAATTCAGTGACTATCTGTGCTCATAGATCTTAATCTTTCCATCTCTTTAGTCATCTTCATTGCTTCATCCTCCTAACTTCATGCCTGCATGTTTACATAACCATGTGTATTCATGATCTTGCCAGCATGAAGGACAAACTTCTAAATGCATGTAAGAGCTAGCATATGTTATTCTGTTATTCTTCCCCAAATCTCTCTCTCTCTCTCTCTCTCTCTCTCTCTCTCTCTCTCTCTCTCTCTCTCTCTCTCTCTCTCTCTCTCTCGTCTGTCTGTCTCACATGCACACACACACTCACACTCACAGTCTTTGTAAATACATTCTGTTCCTCTTATTAAGTCCTCACTGAATGTTCCTTCTAGTTTCTATGACTTGGCTATCCTACACATTACTGTAGGGGTCCATGTGCTTTGGATGCTTGATAGGTATTATGAGAATCAAAAGTGCTACAAAATCAACCTTCTCTTAGAAAAATTGTATAATTAATAAGTTCTTTATAAACAGCTGTGCATGGACAGGAGCCCTGGCAGCATTAGAAATCAGGGAACATATATAAAAACTTTTTCAGTGCGAAGGATAGTTTCATTCCTTCAAAACAAGCAAAAACCTTTTTTTCCCCCTTAAGGTTATGGGGACTGGGGAGATAGACTTGTGGTTTCATTGGCATAAGAGCCTAGGCTCATATATCTGGGCTGGAAAAGATCTCAGAGCCATCTGTTTTAACTTCCCTATTTTACAGAAGAGGAAACTGATGCCCAGAAAGGCTACAATTGCCTAAGGTCACAATCCTGGTAGTAATTATTAGTATTATTATTAACAATTATTATTATTATTAACTAACATTTATATAGTGCTTACTGTGTGCCAGGCACTGTGCTAGCCACTTTACACTTATAGCTCATTTGGTAGAATTTCCCTCTCCCAATGTAGATCAGTATATGCTGTACCACTTTTAGTCTTAGCAAGCTGCCATGGTTATCGCAAGATGAAATGACTTGCCCAGGTTCACAAAGCCAGTGTGTGTCAGGAGCAGGACTTTCAATCCTTCCTGACTCCCAGTCTGACTTGCTCTCCACTAAACTCCAGATGCCTTTCCTGCTAATTCCTTTTAGATTCACATTAGCTACAGACAGATTTAATTTGAGCATATTGCCATCTTTATTCAAAATTCACTATTTTAGCCTTTGACCCATGAACCCTTCCTTCCTTCATGCCCCTACTAGGATTCATGGAAAGGAACCCTTAGTAAGTATATGAAGGTGGTAGTGGGTTGGGGGATGGAGTGTCTCTCTTAAGGTTCTGTCTTGAATTTCTTTAATCATGGACAGTTTGGTTACTATGCACCACCCCCAGCTCCTCAGATTTTTTTGTGAGTTGGTGATCTGGACTCCTGGGGACTTAATAGAAGTCACATGTCTAAGCCCTTTCAAGTCATTCTTGTAAAACCCAGGAACAAACATTGATGTTGGATTGAATTGAAGGACCCAAGCTGCTTTTATACAAAGATTAGACCAAATTAGAAAAAGTACCATGAAACCTATGAGTGTTTTTCACTTCTGAGGATAAGCCCGTCCAGATCCTTTTGAGCTTTTTATCAAAATACCAGCTCTTCTTTTCATCAAAGATCATAAAAAGTAGGGCAAACTCTCGCATGTCTATGGGCCTGTTGCTTTCTTTATGGAGTGTTCCTTTTCGGCATATCAGAAGGGGCCCTATTAGGCCTGAATGGATATCTTTTTCCTGGAAGACAATAAGAGCATATATTTCATTTTTCCCCTTCATCAAGACTGCAGAATTGTGTTTTCTTCCTCTACTCCTCTGAAGTTCACTGATAAAGAGAATCAGAAAGGCCCTTAATAGCAGCCCAAGGCTTGAGCCCTATCAATTCATTCACACTATTTCCTACTTCTCTAAGTGAAAAAGTTTCTTCATTATGAAGGCCTTCTTCTAAAGAAAGAGTTAGAAAGTCTAACCATGACTTGAGGTGTTTTTAAATGAAATGTCTTTCCCAGGTAGTGATGCTGGCACACAGACAAGTGAATGAGAAACTCCTCATCCTGTCTAGCTCCCATGATTCCCTCTGCCATTTGGAAACCAATATGGTGCTCACCATAGGGAGACTATTTTCTTAACCCCAAATCACAACACATGCAAAAATACTAGCCAGCATTTGTATCTCACTTTAAGGCTTACAAAGCATTTTAAATGCATTATTTCACTTGGTCCTTATTTCAACTCTGTGAAGTAGGTGCTAATATTATTTCCATTTTAAGGATGAAGAAACTGAGGCTGTTAAGTGACTTGCCCAGTGTCACAAAGCTTATGTCTGAGGCAGGATTCGAACCTGGGCCTTCTTGACTTCAAGTCCAACCCTCTGTCCCTGGGCTGTCTAGCAATCTTATGATCTGAGAAAGGATTGTTTGTTTGTTTAAAGGGAAGAGGGGAGAGAACATTTGAAATTGGGGCTGTTCTAATTGAGGAATTATGGCCTCTGCACTTGGGCACATTGACTATAGACTCTAGGCCACAATCCTCACCTAGAGTGTGAAGGAACACGGCACCTGCTCCTCCTTCATAGAGGAAAACAAGTCTTGTGAACTCTGTCGGAATAATGGTCTTTCCCATTCCCAAAGGTGAAGTTAATAGATGGGATTATCAAGTCAGAAACCTTTAGTCACCTAAGCCAGAGAAGTCCCTTACCGGATTCACAGCTGAATAGTAGGCCCAAGCTCGGCAGGCAGACCCAGCATTTTCTGGGCCTGATCGTTCTGTCGCATGCCATACATAAGTATAACTGCCATTGGGCTGAATGGCATTGTCATCCTGATACCATTCTGGGGAATCATCTTCATAACTCTTTCCTTCTGATGATTTTTCATAGGAAAGCCCATGAGCATGAAGAGAATATGGCCTGGAGGCTAGATTTTTAAAACGAACCTAGAAGTATAAGGAAAAGAAAAGAAAAGAAAAGAAAAGAAAAGAAAAGAAAAGAAAAGAAAAGAAAAGAAAAGAAAAGAAAAGAAAAGAAAAGAAAAGAAAAGAAAGAAAAGAAAGAAAAGAAACCAGGTAAATGCACATCACTGTAAGAGAACCTCTCTCTTTCTACGGAGAGCTGAGACAAAAAGGCTTAGACAATCAATTTAGACCAGCTGATTTACATGATTAGAGAAAGTTTCTTTACTTAGAGTTCCTTACACCAATGACATTATAGGTATGGACCCCAAAATTATTTTTTCTTGGAAAAAATTATTTCCTATATTCTTTTTTTTTTTAATTTTGCTTCCTATATTTTTTTTGGAGTGTGTGTGGTAAGAAGTGGTATTAATAAATCAGGGGATAAGCAGATTGGGGGTAGGAGAGGAAAGTACTTCTGGTTTGCTTATAGGTGGATGGCAGGGCTAAGAAGGTGGGGAAGTTTAGAAGCTATCTAAAGAGCATCAAGCAGATACTTTAAAACATCAGACACAAAATCCTTAACTGTAGTCATTTGTTGTTTACTTATTCCAGTCATGTCTAATTCTCCATGACCCTACCTGGAGTTTTGTTGGCAAAGATACTGGAATGGTTTGCTAGTTCCTTCTCCAGCTCATTTTACAGATGAGGAAACTGAGGCAAATGGGGTTAAGTGACTTGCCCAAGGTCACACAGCTTCTAAAGCTGGATCTGAACTCAAGAAGATGAGTCTTTCTGATTTCAGGCTCCACACTCTCCCCATTGTATCACCTAGTTGCTCATAACTTTAGTTATAGGCACACTCTATATAAACCCAGAACATAAATTCAATTCATTTTATTACTTCAATTCAGTTCCATAAACAATGAGGCAAAACAAGAGAGTGGAAAGACCACTGAACTTGGAGTGTGACCTTGGGTAAGTTGTTCAGTATCTCTGAGCCTCAGGCTCCTCATCTTTAAAGTTGGGGTAATAATAATGCCAGTAGTACTTACTGAACTTGATGGTACAGAGGCTAGAACAAGGTAATTTATGTAAAGCGTTTGAGAAACATTGAAGCATTGCAGGAGTTATATCTATTATATTGTTTCCTAGCACTGCCTTGTCTATAGTAAGTTATTAACAAATTTTTATTGGTTCACTGTGTGGTTACTATATATGCATAATGCATTATACTGGGCACCGAGGGGACTGATAAGAAGAATGACTCATGGTTTCGCACCCTCAAGGAGTTTATAATCCAATAAGAAGAAGAATTCATCCACATATATAAGAAATATATGAGAGAAAGGCAAAGGGCTATAAGGATCATTGGACCCCTTTCTCAGGGATATAGTAGGGGTGATATTTAAGTTATGAATTAATTAGATTAACTGTGGGTTCACTTAAGTTATAGGTTAGACTAGATGACCTTTCAGGTTCCTTCCAAAGTGGAGATTTCATGACTTAATGAGGGAGGGATCACCTAAGGTGGAGTGAATTAGGAGAAGCTTCCCAGAGGAGGTGACATTTGATGCAGGGGGTGAAAAATTGGCAGGATTTTGAATAAGTTATGTAAGTTATATAAGGTTATACTTAAGAGATGGCTTGGGGTAGTGTATGGAGAGGTGGCCTCAAAGCCAGGAAGACCTGGGTTCAAATCTTTGCCTCTGAAACATACTAGGTGTGTGACCCAGAGTAAGCTACTTAACCTCTCTGTGCTCTAGACAACTCTAAGACTGAAAGTTACAGAGAAGATAGCTACCTATATTGGTGGAGGGAGTCCCCCCCCACCCCGAAGCGCTCTGTATTAATGAAATCACAAGTCCGGTTCTTATCCTTGTTATTATTATTATTAATTTTCCTGCTTCGTTTTACAGATGAGGGAGCTGAGGTTCAGGGAAGATTAAGTGACTGGACCATAACATATAACTCTTAATTCTATGGAGTCAGGACTCATGGCTAGACCTTCTAATTCCGAGTCAAATGTTCTTCTCCCCAGGCCACATGAACTTTGATAAATCATGGACAACGTCCTTTCACACTTTTGACTTTGCAGCTATCACCTACTTTCAGAAACCCCTCTAACTTTGATACTAACGACTCACATTTGTATTGTGTTTTCCTCACAGTAATCTGGTGAAATAGAAGGGAAAGTAGAACCACACCCATTTTACAGATGAGAAAACGGGTTCAGGGAAGTGAAGTGACCTGCCAGGGTTCACACAGATAGCAAAGGGCAGAGCTGCTACTCAAACTCAGGGCCTTCTGACTGGACTTGCAGTGCTCTTTCCATACCACCCTTCTGCCTTCTTGTAGCTGTTGTTCAGGTGTTTCAGTCATGTCTGACTCTTTGTGACCCTATTCAGGATTTTCTTGGCAAAGATACCACTTCTTTCTCCAGCTCATTTTCTGCATGAGGAAACTGAGGCAAATAAACTGGGGTAAGTAACTTGGCCTAGTGTCATACAGCTAGTAAGTGTCTGAGACTGAATTTGAACTCGGGTCTTCATGACTCCAGGCTCGGCACTCTCAACCACTGTTCCACTTACCTGCCCCTGCCTCTCTTAGCAATGCTTAAAACTTGGCTTACTTGGATCACATCATCTACCTCAGCCCTGATTATAGGACCAAGGATGCCAAGGTGCTCTTCATTCTCTCCCTGAGGGTCAGGCACTGTAAAGGCGCTGTCCAGGTATTTCCGAAAAATCACTTTCTTATACACTGTGTTCCCTATGATATCATCAGCATCATCAGCCTTCCTCATGCTGATAAGTTGGGAAAGAAAAGATAATAAGGAAGAAAATATTAGAAAACGTTAGAAAAACTACATTCATAAAAGTTTCTCCCCCCCAAAAAAGAATCCTTGTAAAATCCTGCATTTTTCCAGGTGACTCAAGCTGATACACAGAATTATATCATATTCAAATCTATCTATAACTAAGGTATAATTTTGAAAAAACCAAAGATGACTTGTATAAAACCTAAGATATTATTTTTTAATGTATGTCTGTCTATGTAACATTTTTTTTTCTTTTCAAAGAGAGCTCATTTTAGAGATGGGCCAGGATTTGGGGAAAACCTATTTTTAGCAGGTTGGCACATAGCTGTTCCTGAGAAAAGTAGGTAAATACACAGTAGCTCATTGCTATTGTTCAGACCTTGAGGTAGATTTTGGTGGCATCCTTATTTTAGGTCCCTGGCAGAATAAAAGTTCTCACCCTAAAAGAAGCCACTGATCTCCCCTTTATTTTTCTCCTTGAAATGTCCAAGCACCATCTCAACCTTCCCAGAAAGGGCAGAACTAAATTGGATGGGTAGAAATTATGGAAAGGCCAATTTTCAGCTTGATTTAAGTCAATATTTCCTAACAAACAGAGCTTGGTGGCAGAGAGAAAGGAGACCTTCCTAGGGGAAGGGCATGTTAAGTAGACCCTTTTGGGGGGACTTATTTTGTAATTTCTTTCTTCACCACAGTTCTCACCCATATCCCAGGTTTCTCTACTTACCTCTCACCTGGTCTACCTCAATAACCCTCTGATTGGTCTCTCTGCACACCAATCCATTTTTCATATAGCTGCCAAGGTGATTTTCCTTAAGTGCAAGACTGACCACCCCTAATCAATAAGCTCCAGTGATTCCCTATTAGCTCCAGGATTAAATATAAACTCCTGTGTTTGGCATATAAAGCACTTCACAAACAGATCCCTTCCTATCTTTCCAGGTTTTTTGTTTTTGTTTTATTCTTTATGCCCTTCTATAATTGTACAATCCAGCAATACTAGACTGTTTCTCTATGTGCTTTTTGTCACACATGACTCTTCATTTGCCATCTTTGTATCTTTGCACGGGCTTTCCTTCATGCCTGGAATAGCTTCTCTTCTTACCCTTCCCCAGCCCTCCCCCCCACCTCCCACCTCTGTTTCTCTCAAGATTCAGCTCAAATGCCACTTTCTGGAGGATGTCTTTCACAGTCCCCCTCAGATGCTGATTTGGTTTGTGTCTTGTCCTCAGTTCTCAAAAAGGATCAAAATGACATCACTATGTTAGGGTCAAGGTGCAGTGTGTCCATCTGTAGACCAGCAGGAGCTCAGAAGGCTCTACCACAGGTTGGGCACAAACAGTTCATATGACAATTTGGAATGGACTTGTCTCTAAATGTGTGCATCTAATGTTTCCTTTGAGATGCTAACACCTTGCCCTCTGAGCTTACCTTCTACCTACACTGTATGTATCTTATATGTACTTATTTATTTACATATTGTCTCCCCCTTCCCCCCTAGAAAGTGAGCTCCCTGAGGACAGGGTCTGTTTTTGCTTTTTCTTTGTGTTCCTAGAATGCCTTGTACATAGTGGGTGCTTGATAAATGTTTGATTTATTGATAACAATCACTGACATTTCTAAGGCCAGTATATGAGGAGACAGATAAGAATGTCACAGCTAAGAAGATGGGATGGGGTTATGATCTGCATTGGGGGAGGGAATGCCTATGTTGGTAAAATCATTAAATGCTTCCTTTTAAGGTAGGACATCTCCATTCTAACAGTGACCTTCAGGACTCAGACTCTATCCAAAGAAATGGCTGATGCAAGAATTTCAGGCGCCACAGGAGATCAGACCATGGAGAGCTCCTGCCTATTCCTACCTATAAGACTTTGGTTCGGCCCTCTTCAGAGATGTCCAACTAGTCATTCCAAATATTCATATTCCTACTGTACCTTACTGGGCCAATGTAAGATGACTATATTAAGTCTTACGCATCTGAAATCTGATCAAAGTTCTCACTTTCTTCCCTATTTTCCTTTCCTGGGATGCTTCATATAGGGATAAATGTATGCAAAGTGACTTGCAAAACTTAAAGCCCTTAAAAAGCTTGAAGTGTAAATGTCAACTACTACTTAGCCAAATAAGCTTTAGTTTCATTTTTATAAAATTGGAACATTTGTGAGGAAAGTGCTTTGTAAACTTATAAAACTATGAACTTTTACCATGCACTGGCTTTTAAAAATTGAGCTGGTATTCCTGCTGTTTGTCACTGGTATCTTAAGAATTTTTAACTGAATTCATGATGCCACTGAACAGGACTGCACTGGACTCCAACAGAGCCATAATTTCATTGACATGAGTGTTCTCTCCAACCCATCCTGTGAAATTCTTGTCTGTGTCCTTCTATAGGTTCACCACAGGAAGTCTATCACTGTGTTGAGGGCCTTCCTTACATTCTCTTGAATACCAGTGGAGTGTGCAGGCCACTCAGTCATCATCCCTTATTCCAACCATATGAAGGGTCCACTGTGTAGTAAACCAAATAAAATCCCTTTTTTTGTCATTGGAAAAGAATAAAAGGGGCCTGTGACTGAGATCAGAAGTAGCCCTGTCATCATTAATGAATAGCAGAGGTCTAAGATATAAAAGGAAGTTTTCCAAACCTTTTTGAGAATTTTGAATAATCCCAAAGTACTTCCTCAGCAGCAATGTAGTAATTTTTTCTATTTCCCTTGTGGCTTCGGAGATACCATGCTGCAATGTTGTCAGGGTTTCGGAGTGAGCTTGTATCTGTCCTCCTATCTGTTTGATAAGGATCATCATAGTGTACATAGGTGTCTTCAACATAATCATCATCATCTTCATTGTCTTTGATGTCCTGCCCTGGAATATACTCAACATAATTCCCATCAGCTTTGGTAAGGCCCACTATAACTGCTGGATTAAATTGTCTCGGTCTCAATGTAACATTGATTCTGGGTGGAAGTGATTGGGATGTTGATTCAAAGACAGGAGAGGAGGATACATGACTAAGTTCTGGAGGGAAGTTCTCATTGAACTCTGGAGTAGGGACTATCTGACCAGCCTCTGGTAGGAAATAGGCATGATTCAGATCCAAAGTAGAGGAAGTCCAATTGAGATCGGGAGGGAAGGATTCTTCATAGGGGTCTGAAGGGGGAGTTGTCTCATAGAGACCTGGAGAGAAGGATGCTTCATAGGGGTCTGAAGGGGAAGTTGTTTCATAGACATATGGAGGGAAGGATGCTTCATAGGGATCTGAAGGGGGAGTTGTCTCGTAGACACCTGGAGAGAAAGATGCTTCATAGGGGTCTGAAGGTGGGGTTGTCTCATAGACATCTGGAGAGAAAGATGCTTCATAGAGATCTGAAGGAGGAGTTGTCTCATAGAGATCTGGAGAGAAGGATGCTTCATAGGGTCTGAAGATGGGGTTGTCTCATAGACACCTGGAGAGAAAGATGCTTCATAGAGATCTGAAGGAGGAGTTGTCTCATAGAGATCTGGAGAGAAGGATGCTTCATAGGGGTCTGAAGAGGGAGTTGTTTCATAGACATATGGAGGGAAGGATCTTCATAGGATCTGAAGGAGTTGTCTCATAGAGATCTGGAGAGAAGATGCTTCATAGGGGTCTGAAGATGGGAGTTGTCTCATAGACATCTGGAGAGAAAGATGCTTCATAGAGATCTGAAGGAGGAGTTGTCTCATGGAGATCTGGAGAGAAGGATGCTTCATAGGGTCTGAAGTGGGGTTGTCTCATAGACATCTGGAGAGAAAGATGCTTCATAGAGATCTGAAGGAGGAGTTGTCTCATAGAGATCTGGAGAGAAGGATGCTTCATAGGGGTCTGAAGATGGGGTTGTCTCATAGACACCTGGAGAGAAAGATGCTTCATAGAGATCTGAAGGAGGAGTTGTCTCATAGAGATCTGGAGAGAAGGATGCTTCATAGGGGTCTGAAGAGGGAGTTGTTTCATAGACATATGGAGGGAAGGATTCTTCATAGTGATCTGAAGGAGGAGTTGTCTCATAGAGATCTGGAGAGAAGGATGCTTCATAGGGGTCTGAAGATGGGGTTGTCTCATAGACATCTGGAGAGAAAGATGCTTCATAGAGATCTGAAGGAGGAGTTGTCTCATGGAGATCTGGAGAGAAGGATGCTTCATAGGGGTCTGAAGATGGGGTTGTCTCATAGACATCTGGAGAGAAAGATGCTTCATAGAGATCTGAAGGAGGAGTTGTCTCATAGAGATCTGGAGAGAAGGATGCTTCATAGGCGTCTGAAAGGGGAGTTGTCTCATAGAGGGAGGAAGGAAAAGGAATCTGATTAAGATCTAGAGGGGAGAATATCTCATAAGGATCTAGAGGCAAGGGTGTTTGATGAAGATCTGGAGGGGGAAATGACTGATAGAAATCTTGAGGATGAGTTGTAGAAACAGGGTCTAGAGTAGAGAATATTTCACTGAACTTCAGATCAGAGGATATCTTACTAAACTCTGGTGGGGGAAATGTCTCATCCAGGTCCACAGTGGGGAAATTCTGATCAAGGTCTAAAGTGGGGGATACTTGTTCTAGGTCCTTAGGGGATGGCATGTCACTGGATTCATTGGGTAAGAGTGAATGATTGGGCAATGTGGCATTGTACCTTTCTTTGAGAGGCTTGAAACCTCTGGGGGACATCAGCACATTGTGTGCAAACTTGGTGACTCTTTTCCTTTTTCGGGTCTTAATCAAACCTGAAGATTTCCTGAACCTACCATTTGTTCTGTTCTTTCCTATTTTTAAGGGATTGTGCCAGTTAGCAGAATGAATTCCTTCTCTCCAAGGTGTTGCAGCATCCTGGGGGCTATTCAACAGCTTATCTTCAACCTTATCTTCATTTGTATCTTCGATGATTTCATAGCTCACTTTCTCAGAAACCAAATTCCATTTCCCATTCAAAACCTTTGGTGGGTCCTTCTGGTTAACAACTACCAGATCATCTAGAATACCTTCTTGTGTTCCTGCTCTGGAGTTGGGAACGTCACTGCTCTGAAGATCAGGCTGTTCTAGAATTAAATTTACCCTCACATTACCTGTTGGTAGTTCTACCTGTATATGACTGGACTGGACTGATATATTTCTTTCTGCCTCAGTTTGGTTAGCTGAAGTAGTGGTAAATTTGGAAGGCTCCTCATTGGCCTGGCTGGCTTCCTTCTTGGCATCTTCTTGGCTATGGAGTTCTTCTGTGGCAAGAGAAGACAAGGTTGTCCCCATGGCAGTTGAATGTATATCCTTCTTGACAAGTTCTTCAGAATGGGGCCTGGGATTCTTCAGAATGGAGGCTACAGAGTGTAATGCAATGGAATGTGTTCCTGTAGTGGTGATGTTCTCCAAGGGAGGCCCAGTTGTTGTGATTACTGAGTAAGGAAGGGTGGCTTGAAGTTTTGGAATGCTACCAGGGTCTTTTGAGGAAGGCTGAGAGGTACCCAATGATGCATTCACATTTAAGGGAATCATTTCAGAGATTTCTTCCATAAATAAAGCAGTCAGATTGAGAAGCTCATCTCCCTCCTGCGGTCCCGATGAATTTCTAAATGATCTAATACCAAACTGCAAAGCCAGTTCAGCCTGGTAATCACTATCATCTTCCCCTTCACCTTCCGTTGAATCGGGCATGTTCCTGGTGGTGGCTTTATTCTTCTCTGTGACAACCTTTCCCACATTGTCATCAAATACAATTTCGTAGGAGTCATCCTCATAATCCCTTATACATTTAACATCCCTGAATCGCAGCCTGAGGTTTTGATTTCTGTGGTTGGAACTTATAGAAGTCAGCATCCAAGTTCCTACAAAAACAGAAGAGAAAAACAAACAGACGAGCAAAAATCTGGTTTAAAAAACCCAACAAAACTATTCTTGAAGGTAATTTCTAATCCATTTTGAATTTACATAAGAAAGGATGAGTCAAGAGTCAAAGAGGTCCTTAGTAACATAAACACATGTTATCTCTGTTCCCACACCACAAAAAAACAATAAAAATAGATGAATCAGATATAAATATATATGTAAAACACTAACTATATAATATATAAAACATACTACATATGTGAATACTTTGCATACAGTTCTGCCTCACTTAAATGTGATTCATTCATAAGTCAAGACATTACCCTGGTGATATCATTGGTCCTCTTTGAGAACGAAGGACAAACAACAACAGCAATATCCTTTCTGTATATACTTCATAAACCCAAAGCATGATTGTTTTATATGTATACACAATATACATATAAATAAATAGTATTATATTATTATATTATATATTATCATATATTATATAATATTTATTATGATATATTATATATGAGAATACATATAAATATCTATAAAACAATCATTGTGTATGTATATATGTGTGTATATGTATAAATATATATTATATATAATAATATATAATACATATAATGTATAATGTATATGTAAAACTATACATATGTATAGTTTTGGGTTTCTTTATACAGAAATAGTTTGTGCCTACTTTGAAATGCTGTTAGCCCTATTTCAAGGACTTTTCTAGCTGTAACTAAGCATAACTACATATCTATTTGAGTTAAGAAGGTTTGTGTAGCATGGACTAAATGAATTTCCCTGAAATCAATCAAATAGGTTTTCTAACTTCTGAGTCAGTGTTCTTTCCTCAATACCACATTGCATTTTAGTGCTATTGGATATACTGCTCTTCTAGGGTTTTGTTTTATTTTGATTGCACATGCCTATTTCACTGATTTGTTCTCTCATTTATGGATGAAGGAGTTTAGAAACAAATGCCTTCCCTTAAGGATGGCTGCATGTACACCACAAGTTAAGGTGTGTTGTTTCGTTGTTGCCATGTCCATTATACAAGACTGAGCATCCAAATAAGATAGAAACATTTAGTTAAAACTCTAAATGTTTTGCATACATGCTCTTTGGAAACATTTGGATATTTGACTAAGTATTTTCCATTTTCATATTACGTTAACAATTGTGAAGAAATGGCCTAAATCTATTTAATGACGTCTTAGGTTGTGCTTGTTTTCTTTTTTTCAGGAGAGGAGGAGAAAGGAGGGGATTAGTCACCTTCTGGACTCAGTTCCACAATCACTTCTCAAATGAACTTAATTAAATGAACTAAGATTTCAGTGGGAATGCCCAATGAGGCAACTCCCTCCACCAATGCAGGTTGGCGCCGGCTTTGTACTCAGTAAGACGGGAGTCTTTCATAGCTGGTTGGGCCACTGAGTCACTTGGCCAATATCTGTCAGACACAGGATTTGAACCTAGATCCTCCTGCCTTCGAGGCTATCTACTATGGCACAATGCTTCTCTTGTTTCTTAGGCTAAAAACTTGGGGCATAGTATGAAAGTATAAAAATAGGAATAGAATGTTATTGGTAAGCGTAGAAATCAAATAAGTAGTCAAAAATTCTAGTGAACCCAAGGGTTTTTTGGATTACTCTGAGGTAATATGATAGCCAATGAAGCCAATCCAATCCAATGCAATAAAGGACCTTGATTTCCCCAGTGTGGGTACACCTTCTACCAGTGTAAATTGGAAGCCTTCTCTACCACAGTAGACAGCCACCATGACCTACTTGTCCTGGTGATAGTGCTTTTTAGCTAGGATGGTTCTAAGACAACAGACAGTCCATTGTGGGCCTATCCACAAAGTCTTTCCAGTTTGATAGGACCTGCCAGAGCTTATGGCCCACTGTTAGAACTTTCCAGAAACCAGGGTCACCTGCACAACACAGTGAATTATCAGAATAGGATTTAATATTCTCTGTAATTTTAGCCACTATGTAAGCCTTACAACTATCCAAGGCTTACCTCATGAGAGCAGAGCATTTCTACCTTTATGATGATGTGGCTGTATGTGACCTTAACAATAGAAAAGTATGGGTCCATGTTGAAAAAAGGGAATTTTTTTGAACATAAAGGTTTTTTCCCCTCTAAAAACTTAGCCCTGGGGGAGGAAAATGAAGCAGAAGAACTAAAGTGCTGGGCCCATCAATATTGGTGAAAGAGAAATGTGGCAAGTCACAAAAGTGAAAGAAAGCACAAGGGGAACAGATGATGTGCAAAGATCTCTCCACGAAATTAGTCCCACATTCCCTGGATTGTAAAAAAAAAAAACAAAACGGTTGTGGCCAAGCAGCTAGGTGGCACAGTGGATAAAACAATAGACCTGGAGATAGGAAAATCTGAGTTCAGATCTGGCCTCAGACACTTCTTACCTGTGTGATCCTGCACAAGTTACTTAACTTCTGTCTGCCTCAGTTTCTTCCATTACAAAATGCAGATAATGAAAGCACCTGCCTCCAAATGTTGTGAGGATAAAATGAGACATTATATATAAAGTGCTTTGCAAACCTTAAAACACCATATAAACGCTACTTATTTTAATGATCTGGTTATTGTCTAATTTTATCTAATTATCTAATAATTATTATTATTTAAAATTATTATTGTTTGATTGCCTTAGCACTTTGGCCCAGTGTTCCTATAGCCATGATATCTCAGGGCAGAAGTATCCAGCTAGCAGGCTGCTAGCAAAATTCCTGAGTGTTACAGACACCAGATTAAAATATAATATGGAAATGTCTAACGAAATAAATAAAAATACAACACAACATAGGTATAATTCATTTGTGGCTTTCTAAATATGCCCTCCCAATCCCCCTGGTGATGCTTATGTAGGGCTTAGTGGTCCCATTGCTGTTTGAATTTGACACCGTTGTCAGAGGGAGGTAAACAGCATTACTACCACTGATACATTCAGAAAGCCCAGGGTACGATTTCTGAAGATGGCTCCAAGTTTGGGTATAAAGCTGGAATGGGGGAGGACCAGGTGAGGTTTGTGGATATGACTAGTACAGATCATGACAATGACTGGACAGGATGGGGGGACCTTGAGGAAGTGTGGTGTAGTGGGCACAAAACTGGACCATTTTATTCTCATGGTGATGCTGGGAGATAGGTATTCTCATCATTCCCATTTTGCAGATGAGGAAATTTTGGCAGACAGATATTAAGTGACTTGCACAGTCACTGTGAGATAAAATGAGATAACATAGGTGAGGCACTTCACAAACTTCAAAGTTCAATATAAATGCTAGCTATTATTTTTGTAAAGTCTTTTGTAAAACCTTAAAAAATGAAGTACAATTGAGCTCTGATTGTCATGACCACTCTTTGTATGTATTATTTATGTGCTCCTCTGGTTGCCCTCCCTTTGGAAATGGCATCAGTGGAGTTGTGGTGGCTGAGTCCCTGAGGTTCTGTGGATATGCTTCTAGCTTATGCCACCCTTTGTCCAAGTAGGTTACTTCTATCCCTAGAGAGAGATGAAAAGACATGGCCAATGTCAGTGAACACTTCATCTCGAAGAACACTGCCTATCTGAACCACTCCAACACCCTGAAGGTGGGTCTGTGCCAGGATCTTGTGGATTCTGATGAGGTCCTTAAGGAAACAGCAATTCTCTAAAATATTAATTATAGGCGATAGCGTCTAGTGGAAGCATTTATGAGGACTGAAAACCTAAACAGCATCATGCTAGTAACAAAGTAAGTCTCTGCAGAAAGTAGATGAAATAGACACTAACTACTAGAGCTCTCTCCTAATACTCAAGCCACTCACCGACATTATCCATTGTGACAGTTACAGATTCTCCGCTCATAGGGAAGAGAGTCAGGACATCCTCATGCCTTTTTCCGTATAAGAATGAGTGTCCAGTCAAGTGAAGAGTCAGGATCTCATCCTGGATGCCCACACTGCAAAAGTGCCACTGGACAGTGTCCTCGTAACAAAATCCCAGGGTCGGTAGACTCTCAGGCAAAAAGCCGTTTATTGCTAAAAGAAACTGAGTCAGTTAAAACACTAGCCTCCCCACCAACCCTGCACCACTGAAGGAACTTTGATCTAATTACACAGGCAAAATTACACTCTAGAGTGGATATGCTTCCTCAAGTCAGCCACTAACATAGAAGTATTGATTATTAAGCATTAGCCTCACTGGAGGGTGTGGGAGGTACAGGAAGGGAGAGGGAAGAGAGGGAGGATATGTGATTAGGATCCCCAGTTTCAAACTTTCCAAATAAATTGTCTTCTCATCATTGAACTGAGCTGAAGAAAACATTATTCATTCAACAAAAAATTTAGAATCATAAAAATATATCATTTTAGGATCTAGAGCAATATAGAAATCACTTTGTCCAACTCCTTTGTTTTCTGAGCACCTATTCTATTCAAGACCTTTTGATGGGTAGTCTGCCTTTAAAGTCTTTCAGATATATTCTGAAGGACAGTGTGAAAAATACTAATTCCAGTCCAGAGGGAAAAAAGCATAATAATACAACAGATATGAGAGATTCAATGATAATGTCACTCAACATAATAATGTAAAAAATGTACAAAATATACAATGCATGAATGTACAAAACAGAGAAGAGCAATGAACACATTCCTTAATTAAAGTCCTATCCTTTAATTGTCAACTGTAATCATTAAAGAAAGAGCAAGGTCCTTGCCTTCCTTAATATTATTTGTACTTATCAATAAATATGTTTGAATTTTCATAGATCATTGCAATCTTTACCTATTAAGAGTAGTAATAAAGGTACAGATTGTATCTATGCTAAACAATAATTATCTTCACTTACAAGAATGAATCTGATTAATAAATGTGTTAATGGAACTTCTCTTTGGGAGACAACAGCTCCTGAAAGGACTTTGGTCATGACATTTATAGGAGCAAAATAAAAATTCAATGATAAAAGTAAACAAGAAGTCAGTGTTTGACCCCTAACTCCAACCTTCCATCCCATATGGAAAATCCCTGAGAATTCCAGATTGGTCTCTTTGGTTATCTGAAAATGCGTGAATAAATGATAGGGAAAAAAAATCAACCCTAGACCCTAGTCAATCAATCCTCTAAGGACGATGAATACTTTACCTCTTGTCACATCAGATTGCTATAATGACACCCTTGGTTTTTGATCATAGAATCCTAGGACAGGAAGTAAATCTAAAAGTTCATCTCATGCATGTCTATAGACAAGACTACATACATATCTATCCGAGTGACAGATAGAATGGAGTGGAGGTGAAAGGAAGAGTTTCTACTTACTGCTCTTGATGTTGGACGCATAGAACTTTGGATCATCTCGTTTCACAGAAGAGGGGTTTTCATAAAATCTTTTAATGTTGTCTTCAAAGTACCAGCTTTTGTTCTCATCAAATACAGCAAACACGGCCTGTTGCTCAGAATCTGCTGTCCTCTATAGGAAAAAAATTGCGTTATTCACAAAACATTTACTATACAGCCCTTCATTTTCAAGATAGGAATGGAACCACATTTTACCAAAACTGGCCACTAGATGGTGCAGTGGATACAGCACAGGACTGGGTCAGGAAAACCTAACTTCAAAGCCAGCCTCAGACACTTACTATCTGTGTGACCCTGGGCAAGTCACTTCAACCTGTTTGCCTCAGTTTCCTCATTTGTAAAATGAGCTGGAGAAGGAAACGGCAAATCATTCAAGTGTTTTTGACAAGAAAACCTCGAGTGGGGTCACGGAGAGTCAGACACAACTGAAATGACTGAACAATTATTAAGACAAGCCTCATTTCACCACTGCCATTTCTTGAAACTTTGAAATACCTATGTCACTGGACTATTCTATTTGGGTGGAGAATTGAAGGCTGACTATGTGTGCCCCCAAGAGGATTCAGTTCTGCTCCAAATTCGGAGCTGTCGAACACTGCTGGAGAACAAAATACAAAATCATGCTAACTGGGCCAATTGTAGAGGAAACCAAAGGGTGGCATAGTGGAAAGAGCAATGAACTCGAGAAGGCTGGAGTTTGGATCCCAACTCTATTACTGACTGTGTGACCTTAGACAAATCATTTAACCTCATTAGTCTCAATTTCTTCATCTAAAAAGTTTGGTATTAACTTAGACAATCTCTAATTCCCTGCCTTTCATATCACATTTCCACTTGGATGTACCACAAGTTTCTCAAGCACAACATATCCAAAATGGAACTCATTATATTTTCCCCAAACCAACCCTTCTTCCTATCTCTGTTGAAAGCACCACCATCCTTCTGTTCATCTTGGTTCAAAACTTTGGAGTCATCATAAACTCCTTACACTCTCCCACCCTCCATATCCAATGGAGTCACCATTGACTCCTCACCCTCCCTCACTCTCCATATTCAATTAGGGGCCAAATCTTGTCAGTTCTTCCTATCCAGGACCTTTTTGCCTGTGTGCTTTTCTCCTTACTCATATAGTTGTTTTCATCTTTGATTATGACTATTTCTACAGCTTTCTAATTGGTCTCCCCACCTCAGTTCCTCTGTCTTCCCCAGTTAATCTTCCACACAGCTGTCAAAGTAATATTCCTAAAGTGCATGTCTGATCATATCATTTTAAAGCTGCAATAGCTCCCTATTTGCCTCCAGGATAAAATATAATGCCTCTGTTTGGCATTCAGAACCCATCACAATCTGGCTCCAGCCTACCTCTCCAGACTTATTTATACCATACTCTTTCCTCACTCATGCCACAATTCATCCAAACCAGCCCACCAATGATCTCCCACACATGGCATTCCAACTCTGTGCTTTTGCATAGGCTGTCCCTCCCAAGCCCGGAATAGACTCCTTCCTCACTCCTGTCTCTTAGAATTCCTTTTATCTTCCTTCAAAGGTCAGTTCAAGAAATACCTTCTACATGAGACCTTTACCAATCCCCTCAGCTGCTAGGGCCACCCCATAATCTTTTTAAAATTTTGTGCATATTTTTATGCATGCACATACTATTTTCCCTGATAGAATGTAAGCTCCCTGAAGGAAAGAAGTGTTTCATTTTTGTATCTTTATTCCCAGCGTCTAGCACAGGCACACGCATCTATCTGGCTTGGTTACACAGACATCCATTCATTTATCTCTTACTGGTTCTCAATCTCCACAGCTGCTGTTTTAAACCTTCTCCTCTGCAATCCCACCATAACACCCCCTCCCTTATCAAAGCAGATTGATCTTACCTACTACTCCACTTCAAAAATTGAACCTATCTTCTCCAATCCTCTGGTTCTCTCAAAGTCTTCATTCATTTTCTCCTGCTGCCGCACCCCACTCAATTGAACTAGTCATAGGAAGTTGTCTTGAAGAAATAGGAGAGGACCCTCTACCTCTCACCTGTGCGAGGACCCTAGGTGTTGCACATTGCATACATCTGTTTTGGGTCTTTTTCAGCGCATTGATTGGTCTCTTGCGCTGATTTCCCCCGTTTCTTTTTGTTTAAACAGTGCTCTTTGGTATATGGGCTGGCTCTCTGGGAGTAGGAGAGACACTGAAGAAAACTGTGCTGATGTAAACAACAAAAGACATCAATAAACACTTACAAAAACAGCTGGTTTGGGGCTGGGTTTTGTGCTGCTTGCTCACAGGTGCGTGTTGTGGTGCTAGTCCCGGGCTCCAAAATGGGTAATTACATACAGCTTAGGATATTCACCCACCTCAGTGTGAGTGTGAAAAGGAGAAGCAGTGGCTGAGAGAAGGCAGCACTACTCAACAATTATTTCCTTTGTCTTTTCTCCGCCAAGGAGAAGAATCTTTGGATGAGAAAGGTAAGAACCCAAATGGCTAATACGGCAATGATCCCAAGAGTAGGAAGTACCGTATTGCACTGGTAACAAGGGAGAAAATATCAGCAATTTTACCTAGCCAAAGGTGGAATGTGCTTCCTTGGGTGGGAGTAGGTTTCTTCCACACTGGAAGCCTTCAAGCAAAGGATGGATGACCAACTTTTGGGTATGTCGTAAAGAAGATTGGGGTTGGACTAGATCAGGGGTGGGGAACCTGCAGCCTTGAGGCCACATGTGGCCCTCTAGATCTTCAAGTGTGGCCCTTTGACTGAATCCAAACTTCACAGAACAAATCCCTTTAGTAAAAAAGATTTGTTCTGTAAAATTTGGACTCAGTCAAAAGGCTGCACACAAGTGACTCAAGAAAGTAATGGAGAAAATGTCAAAGTGGATTAAACTTGAAAACCCACCCTGCTTTTTAGAGATCTCATTGTTAAATGTTAGCCAGCACATCCTGGCTTTAATCATATATTTCCAACTGACTTCTAGACATTTCTGCCTATATATTGCAACAGCAACTTAAATTCAACACCATTAACACTAAGAGTAATCCTCTTTCTCCCAAACCTGTTCACCTGGATTAATGTGTATAGATGGGACTCTCACGCTCCCAGTTTCCCTGGGCTCATTATCTTGTAATAATCTGTGACTCTTACCTGAGCCTTACCACACAATCGGCTACCATATTCTACCCCCCTCAGTATCATCTTAAATCCAGCCTCTCCCACTGTAGGCCCTCATCCCTTTTCACTTCTAGACTATTGTAATAGCCTCTTCTCAGGACTTCCTAGCTCCCATCTGTCCATTCTGCACACCTTTGCTTGAGTAATCTTTCTAGAATGATGCCGTGTCTATTTCACTCTATGTCTTAAATAGTTCCCCTTTGCTTACTAAATGAAATATGTGTTTTTTGGCATTCAAGGCAATCCAGAGTCTGGTTCTAATAAATACATCCAGCCTACCTTGTGCTACTCTCTTTTATATATTCTATGTGCCTTGTTCTTCTTTCCAGTTTCTATGCTTTTTACCTCTTCTTCTGTACCTAGAATGTACTCTAGAGTGAAAAATGAATAAGCATTTATTAAGTGCCTACTGTATGCCAGGCATTATGCTAAGCACTTTATTAATATTATATCATTTGAGCCTCAAAACAAGCCTATGAGGTAAGTACTATTATTATTCCCATTTTATAGTTGAGACAGACAGATTAATTGACTTGCCCTTAAATGTCAGAGGTTGGATTTGAATTTTGCAGAGCTTTATCCTCTGCACTATCCTATAGTCTCTATTTGCATCTTTTTAAGTCTCTTTCTTCCTTCAAAGTCCTATTCAGATACCATCCGCTCCACAAAGCCCTGCCAGGTACAAGTAATGCTCATCTTTTAAATGACTCATAGTGCTTGGCCAGGACCATTTCATTTCACTCAGTAACTTTTGTGTCATAGTTATTTGTGCATTCATCCTTTCCTCTCCCAACCTGTTATATTGTGAGATCATTGAGAGCAGGGCCTGTGTCAGGTATGTTTTTACATCTTCAGAATCTAGCATGGTACCTTATGCATAATAGGCACAAATGTTAACAAATGTTAGCTGCACTACTTAAGTAAAATATTGAAAATATGGAGTAGTTACAATCCTCTTCATACCTCGTTGTTTCCTTATCTTGAAAAAATGAGATCTTTCTAAGTATAGATTCCATTTCTTACTACATTACACTTTCCTTTAATTCAGCAGTTCTCAAACTGCTGTCTGGGAAATGCTGGTAATGCCCGAGACCCTTTTAGGAGGTCTCTGAGGTCACAACTCTTTTCATAATAATACTAAGAAGTTTTAATTTCTAATACAGTAAATAATCAATAGAGATCACCACCCCCCCAAACAAAAGCTATTTGGGGTTCTCAATAATTATTGAGCACAAAGTGATACCAGAAAGTTTAAGAACCACTGCTTTATTTTGCATCTCCTGAGATGAGGTATTTAGATTATGTCCTAAATAGTCTTGAGAATTCTAGATGACTGTGATATAAAGGATCTGTAATTTCTTCAAGCTTTGCCAAAGCCTAGGTCTTTGTCATCTGCCCTGTAGCTGAGCCTTCTTATATATGTTGTCTGCCCTAATTAGGCTATGAGGTCCCTGACAGCAGGGTCTGTCTCTATTTTCCATTTATTTCTTCAGTATTTAGCATAGTTGTTGGCACATAATAAGCACTTAATGCTATCCCATTCATTTCGGAGCAGTTTGAGTTTGCCAAAACCTGAGAGTTAATTAGCAAAATAAGGTACATTCAGGAAAAAAACATCACGATGAGAAACAGAGCAAGTGCTTCAGTGAAATTCAGTTCCAGTAGAAATGCCTATTTTGAATAACCCAGATAAGAGGATATGTTCAGCTTGTCTACAAAATATTTCTGTCTGTTGATACGACCACCGTTCCAGCTCCCTTATCCCACTATCCAGAACAAAACCAATGGCATAGCCCAGAACCTGGATTTGGAGACAGATGTCAGACAAGAATAGCCAAACAAAAAGTTTATATAGCAAGAAGGAACGCCCGAGACCAAACTTTTAGTACAGGCTGCAAACCTTGCATGTAAGGGTAATTAATGATGGGATTCAATACCTGTACACCTCGGTTGTCCAAGGTTCTGCTCTTACAAATCAAGAGTAGCCCAATCAGGCCTGAGGCAATGTCCCTTGGGATGTCCACAATACTATAATATGGTCTTGTTAAGCATTGGGCATCATTTCCTGCGGGTTCATCAGACTCCAGGATGTTCCACTTATAAGTGTAAGTTTCTCCTGGTTGGACAGCTTTGACTAGGGTGCTGTTGCCTAAAGAGAAGTTTATTTATAATGAATTTTCATTTGGAAACCCAATCTCAGAGCCAGAATTCTAGTCAGAGTCAAACTACAAGAAGAAAGGAAGGGAAAGTGTTCCAATACCATGAGACCTTGACCAACGTCACCTCTTTTCCAAATAGGAAGACAAAGTCTACGTTAGATGTTTAGTGCAGAACATGGTACTCAGGATGCAGTATCCCTGAGGCATCAGTTTCCCTAGTTGTCAGCCAATCAAAAATAAGAGATAGGAATTTTCAGGCCCAGGAGACCCATTATGCAACATGGAAGGCTCACCTTCACTGATGCAACTTCAGGACTACCAAAATATTTTGTAGAAGATATTTTGATGTCATAGAGATTAAATAACTTGTTCATGATACATAGCTAATAAATGGACAAGCTGGGGCTCAAACTCATTGCCTCCATTGTTCTTTCCAGCCGACTCCACCATACTTAACATTCTATTGTTATCTGAGCCCTGGGAAAGCACCGGGATGAATCATTCTGAAGTTGTCTGGGACAAAAGGATTTTGAGTCCCTTTTGAGTAGCATGGACATGCAGTTGTTTTATGTGCTTGTCCACTAGGGGTTGCTATGGCAGCAAGAAAGGGACATGTTCCTGTATGATGATTTATCTGACCCCTCTAGGTGTTGGGAAATCTTAGGACCAATGGATTTAGGACTGGAAGGGACCCTAGGTGTCATCTAGTTCTAATTTCCGCATTGTGAAGATGAGGAAACTGAAGCCTGGAGAGGCTGACTTGCCCAAGGTCATACAGATAGTAAGTGATTGAGCTGATATTGGAATCCCAGATCTTTTAATGATAAATCCAACACTTTCCTCAGTATACCACACTGGAGTGGGGCTCCAATCTCCACTACTATGTGAGTAGACTTTCTGTACTATTTGTACACGACTGAAAATCAGTAGAAAAATCTACCTTGTTGACGTATTGAAAGAGAGCAAAGGGCTTTGCCTAACACATGTGAATAGAAATACAAACCTGAAGTTGAAAAATTCTTAGCTGTTTCTTCATCTGTAGAAAGTGTTATTCCATGAGGATAAATGCTGTAGGGACGGCTGGCCATATTTTTGAATACAATCTACCAGGGAGGGAAAAAAAAAACACAAAAATCATGATTTCAGTAATTAAATCCACTATATACCATTCAATCAAAATGGTTTACTAAATTTTGCAGTCACCTTTGGATTGTTGGGGAGGAGGTAATACCTATTGGCTAAGTGTTAGTTTCTCACTGTTCCCATAGTTGTCCCTAGCAGGGATGTTTGAGCGTCTATAACTTTTCCTTATGAACAAAAAGGAAAACTCTCCTAAACTGCTCTGATTTCTGTTCACTAATGGTGGATTCATCTTGGGGGATGCTGGTGTTTTTGACAACTGACTCTCTTAGGGGAAAAACGTACACATGATACACTTTAAATCTAATCTGCATTATTAAGATATTTTCCCATCACTTTCTTAAGTCTAGACAATAAAAAAAAAAACAAATCAAGTCCCCTGATTTCTAACATTTGCTAGTTTACAAGGTTTAAATGGTCACCCTGAAAATTTGACAGCTGGCTCCCATGAGCCTGTATGAACTGATTCCAGCATGCCTCTGGTTCATCCAGTCTTCTTACTTCCCTCTAAGCCCTAAGACCTCCTATCCCTTCCACCCTCCACCATTGCACTCCCACTCAGCAGTAGAGAAAAGGAGAAGAAAGTCTGAGACCAGAGGCTAAGGGAGTAGATAGGACCTTAGGCCCATCTCCCATCTGTAGTCCCCACTTCCCTCACCCTCTTCTTTCCTATTCAGCACCTTCTCCTTTAGTCCCTGGCTCTTCCTCTCTTGCCTATAGAATAGAGGTTCTTAACCTTAAACTTTTTTTTAAATTTTTTGATAGCTATTTCAATATGACTAGTTTCCTTTGTCATCCTATGGATTTAATTTTATACATCTAAAAACACTATTCAGAGAAGGGTTCCGTAGACTTCACCAAGCTGCCTAAAGGGTCAATGGCACAAAACAGTTAAGGACCTCTGCTCTATAGTCTCCTGGGTCTTCTATCGCCAGGGCTGTTTGGGAAATATATTCTCTCCTATATATCTACAAACCCTTTCATATGTTAAGACGTGGACAAAGAGGTAGCAGATTCTCATAATAGTTGTGTTTGTATTTTTAGGAGAGTAGAGAAGAGAAAGAAGGAAATAACAGGTGCCTTTGCTTTTCACTGTTTACAAAACAGATAATGTGTTTGAAGTCAATTTGACATCCAATTTAAAAAAACAACCCAATCAAACAATAACAAAATAGTCCCAGAGACTCTGGGGCCTTCCCTACTCTATATAACTATTCCCTGTCTGTGTCCCACCGTGGTCGCTTACTTACTTTGAGGGTATCTCTGACTTGGGCTCTAATGATAGGCCCCAAGATGCCAGTTTCTTGGGGATCGGTACTTTCCATGCGTTTGGTGAAAGATACATCCTGGTATTGTTTGTAGACCACCTTCTTATAACATGTCCCAATTTGGTTTGCCAAATTATTATACCAAAATTTATATTTCCTGAAAGAAAAAGAGAATTATAAATAAAATGAAGACTAGTTCTTCCTTCCATTAAAACCCTAGTTCATTATTAGTGGTGATGGTGGAAGGGGTTCCAGGGGAAAAGAAGTGAAAGAGAACACAGGAATAATCTTATATTGTATGATGGGGATTCTCATGGGGGGGGGGGGTTCTGGCCTTCTCGTGGGGTTGCTATGGATGGTAGAAGTGAGTGGCAGACTATTTCACCATTACTTACTTCAGGATGTTTAATGGAACAAGTGGTTGGTATATTTTGGATTAAACTGAACTGAGTAAAACGTAAGGCAGCTGGTGGTACAGTGGATAGGGAGCCTCAGACCTGGAGTCAGGAAGACCTGAGGATACATGGCACCTACCATGTGCCCAAAACTCTACTAAGGGCTTTTTACAAATGTTATCTCATTGAGCCTCGCAACAACTCTGGTGAGGTAGGTGCTATCATTACCCCCATTTTGCAGTTGACGAAACTGAGGCAGAGGCAAGTGACAGAATGTCCAGAGTTACACAGTTAGAAAGTATCCAAGTCCAGATTTGAACTCAAGTCTTTCTGACTCCAGGTCCAATGCTCTATCTACTCTGCCAACTAGCTGTTTACCATGCAAATCATGGTCGGCTGTTGAGTAGCACCTTCTGTATCTGCAGGGATGACAGAAGGAGCCGCAGATGACTTTCACTCCACTCCATCCCTGCTTATTCCTCTAACTTCTTTAAAATAGGACCTTTGTAGTGATAGAGTGCACTCTGGATTCCATCATAATAATCTGCTGAAGGCAATGAAGATCACAGTGAGTTTAGGGAAGTGGTGAGGAAAGAGTTGTTTAGATTGGGAGAGCCCACTACTCTACATCCTGGGAGTCACATACCTATGTAATTTTACACTGATGGATTCTTGTAATTGAAACAAGCATTCTAGTAGTAGTATAGTAGTAGTATGGTATATGGTATAGTATGTAGTAGTAGTGGTGGTGGTATAGTGTATAGTAGTAGTGGTAGTAGTAGTAGTAGTAATAGCAATACCCACTTACTTGTCCATATTCTCCTTGTTTACTGGGGCATAGTCCCAAATGACTTCCTCTGCAGCAATGAAATACTCCCACTTCTTAATATAACGCCTCTGATTTCGGGTTAATTTCTTTATCGTTCTGGTCTCTTTTGGGCATTTTTCAATTTTGAGGTATGCCTTCATCCCAGCTGATTTAGGATATGCAGCAGGTAATGAGGAAATTAGGGAGAAGACAATTAGCTCCACCTAAATACTAAGCATTTAAAAGTATATGGAAAAAGTGTATTCAGGTATAGAGTCAGGGGTCCTAACAGAATAGCCTGAAAGTGTTAAGAGCATTATCCTGGAATGATACGGAGTGGGGGAACAGGAGATAGGAATAAAAAAAGGAAGGGAGATGGGCAGAAAATATTTAGTAAAAAACCATTTGTCTGTCCTAGACAGGAGGATTTGACATAATTTCTGTTCCATTAACATCCCATGGTATGGGTTGGGGAAGAACATTGATAATAAACACATCTAGAGGGCATCCAGAATGGATTAAGTTCAAGTTTATGTCATTTAATGAGGGGTTGAAGGACCCAGGGATGTTTATCCTTGTGAAGAGATGACTTCAGGAAAGAAGGATGTAATAGCTGTCTTTCAGTACTTGAAATGCTGCCTTGGAAGAGAGATTAAATTAGTTCCTCTTGTCTCCAGAGGGCAGAACTGGGAGAAATGCTTGAATGAGGTGGAGAACCAGATTTGGGCTTAGAGTTAACCAAAAGTGTAGCGGCTATCTCTCTATTCCCCCTTACTGTAAGTCTTTAATCAAAGCTTGGGTGCCCAACTGTTAGGTATGTTATCAATTGAGATTATTTTTGCTGAAGCTCCATACTTGTGGCCACACCTTAAATACTCCAGGATATACATCTTTACCTCTGAAGTGTATTAGTTACCCTCTTTCACTTTCTCTTTTCTGCTCCTTCCCAAGAGAGAGATTTCCTCTGTTTTCTCAAGGTTTTTAGTATACCGCTTCCTTCTCCCAAAATCCTACTGACTAGATGTGAGTTAGAGCTCTGAGAATCCAGCAGTAGGATTCTTCTCTCCCAGGCTCTAGCAGATAGGGGCAGGGAAGAGAGAAGAGCCCCCAGAAACGATTGGCTTGTAATAGGATCCGTTTCCTTCATTCCAAAGATCACTTGTGGAACTTCTGAAATACAGGTGGCCTTTGCTATACTTAAGTACATCAGGAAAAAGCTGACTAGGCAGCCTCCAAAGGTGGATTAGGTTTCCTGAATGTGTTCCCTTATTATTGACACAGGGAAATACAAACAGCCCGCTGAGGAATGAAGGAGCCCATGATCCTAGGTATAATTGTCCATCCCACGGTCCCATGCAATGCTGCCCACAAAAATAAGGTCTTTCTCTATTAACGGGCATGGCAGGGGCAGTGATCCTGAAGGAAAGAGCATCCCTTTGTATTTTTAATTTAAACATGTCACTGGTCCCACACTATACCCTTTCAGGTGACAGAGAAACTCAATGTTGTGAAAAGGGTCTCCTTGCCTTGAAAATGCTTTGGGATGAGAGAGGTTATCTTCCACCTTCCCTCATGGCTCACAGTCATATTTGCAGTGGTTGACGCTGCTCCAACTAGGGGGATGGCTGAGACTTTATGAGAGTTATGTTCCAGGACCTGCCCGTTGTAATGAATAGAGAATAGCTCGGGGCCAGAACTCATTGCAATTAGGTGCCAACTAATCTGGTCGTAGGCACAGACTGTTACATCTGAAAGAGAAGGAATAGCCAAGGTCAGAATAGTCAGTGAGTTCAACGTCCCATGCTCCCAAAGCCAAAGATTACTAAAGAGTCAGAACAAGAGGGAGTCTGGATTCAGCTCAGCTCCAGGACAAGCTGTTACATTCATGGAACCTTTAAGGGAAGGAGGTCTCAGAGGTTTATGCTCCTCTGCCGCTGTGCTGAGGTTAAACCCTGTCCAAACTTTGCAAGGACCTTTGCTGCTTTGGGATTTACTCCTTAATTGTTCTCATGACAGAAGCAATTGCTGACTCACTCCATCAAGGAGCATGGCCAAACTCCCATAATGCTCATCTGAATGCCTAGGAGCAGGGGAAGAGGGCAGGAGCAGAGTGGACAAATTTGTGTGTGAATGTATTGGTGTGTGTCAATCAATAGTCAGTAAACAATGAGGCAGCTAGGTGGCACAGCAGATAGAGCACCGGCCCTGGATTCAGGAGGACCTGAGTTCAAATCTGGCCTCAGACACGTAACACTCACTAGCTGTGTGACCTTGGTCAAGTCACTTAACCCCAATTGCCTCACCAAAAAAAAAAAGTCAGTAAACAAGCATTTACTAAGCACTTCCTGACTTCCTGTGTGTCAGACACTGTGCTAAGTGCTGGGGACATAAAGAAAGACAAAAGTTTTCTCTGCTCTCAAATTACTCATTGTCTATTAACAACATGCACTACATATGTACAAATAATGGTTATGATATAAAACAATACCTTCGTGATATAAAACAATACCTTCGTAATATAAAATGCTACCTTTCCTAGTGATTTGTTTAAGAATCCCACATAGGTTAAGTAGACTTCAGGTACAAGTAAGACACCTAGCAAGAGACTCAGCTCACCCGTTACCTGGCAGTGTTCCATTTACATAGCCGTTGACAGTATACATCAGAGAAGGTGACCGCTGCCAGCTTTTGCTTTCATCAAACACTGCAAACATCAGCACATGTTGCCGGTCAAACATCTTTTGAGTCCCATCCTCAGTCAGGCTGCCTATGAGAAGAAAACAAATGCTTCTTAATAATTTCAGCAAGACGAAAAAATAAAATTAATTAATTATTCTAAGACAGCTGCTATTTATCTGTTCCTACATAGGAAAGATGCCAGAAAAGCAAGGCTTCCTTTCAGTAGCATTCTCCAAAACGTTCACATGGTGAACGATTTATTTAAAAAACATCCTCTTGATCAATTAACTGTTGGTGCTTTGGGGTTGGAAGATGAGGAACCCGATAGTTTCTGAAGAAATGAAAGTTGGCATCCCATACATGGCAACGGAAAGGGGCATGGTGAGTGTGAGGAAGCAGCAACACATGTCACCTATCATAGACAGGATCATAGAACTAGGGCTGGAAGGGACCTGAGAAGGCTAGTATCTAATTCAACATCCTCAACATACAGATAAGGAAACTGAAGATAAGGAGGTTAAGGGACTTGCCCAAGGTCACACAGATAGTAAACCCCAGAGGTATGATCTGAACCAAGGTCAAAAACAGAGGCAGTTAGGTGGATATATGTAACGTATGTGTATGTGCATATACAAGTATATATGCATATGTGTATTACAAGTGTGTATACATATACGTATACATGTCTGTGCCCCTAGAACGAACACCCTCCTTGTGCTCACCTCTTAGAATCATCTCCTTCAAAGGCTCAAGTCAGGAGCCACATTCTGCTGGAAGCCTTTCTAGGATTTCCTATTTGTTAGCGTTTTCTCACCTCTCGAATTACGTTGTAGTCACTTATCTAGGATTGTTGTATGCCCGCAGTAGAATGTAAGCTTCCTGAAGGCAGGGACAGTTTCTGGTCCTGTCTTTGTATCCCCAACCCCTAGCACAGAGCTTAATAAATGCGTGTTAAATGAATGAATGTTGAGTTGAGAGCCAGTGTGTTACAACGTAAGAGAAGTCCAAGGAATGCATAGGATTTGGCCAAGTTATAATGCTATTGGAGTATTATGAATCGCTTTCATTGAAAAACCTTAGAAGGTATGGAACGTGGGAACGATTCCCAAGTCAGGAGGACCTTCTGGCCTTTGAACTCTGCTGGCATAGGAGTCAAGACTTCAGCGTCACCTCCATGCTGTGAGAAGGTTCCTGACAAGGGCGCGAGGTGAGAAGCCTGTTGTTGTTTGTCCTTCATTCTCGAAGAGGACCATGACATCAGGAAGATGATGCCATGACTTTAAAGTGAATTGGATTTAAGTGAGGAAGGCTGTGCAAAGTCACCAGCCTCATTTTCTCCTCTAGAGTCATCTGGGTCTAGTGGCAAGCCGCAGATCAGGATGACTGGAGATGGCCCTGGATGCAGTGGGAGACCTTGGACTTTTTAAACTAAGGTCTTTAACAAGTCTCATTTTGACCTATAAAAAGATTATGTAAATGTTAAGTCACTGGTATTTTCTGCAAAGCAAAATTCGGATAATGACTCAGTCAGAGATAGAAACTGCATATCTGCACGTCAACAGATTCAGCTTCTCTGGAAGGAAGAATGCATGTGTTTTTTTGCTTGCAAAGAAAATTACCACAACCCCTTCAAATGGATCAGGGAGGAGACTTCTTTCAAGTAGTCTTCAGAGGGAGACTGATTCTATTACATAGTGACAAACTTTAGAGGAAGATTATAGTGTGAGAATATTTTTAATGGGTTCCATGTGTCATCAAATATATAGAAAGGAAACGAACATTTACTAAGCACCTACTATGTGCCAGGAACTGTGCTAAGCACTTTACAAATATTATTTTATCTGATCCTTACCACAACCTTGAGAGGCAGATTCTATTATCATCCCCATATTACTGATGAGGAGACCAAGGCAAACAGAAGTTAAGCAGCTTGCCCAAGGTTACAGAGTTAGAAGTGTCTGTGTTTGGATTTGAACTCAGGTCTTCCTGATTCTAGGTCCAGCACTCTATCCACTGTATCAGCTAGATACCTCAACACGCTCTTATCCTTTGGGTGGCTTTTTTGGAGTGGTCCTTGTTTTTAGGGATTCAGGAGCAGTAAAAGGAGGAGGAATAGGAGATTCTGAGGAGGACCCCAAAAACCAAAGTCTCAGATATTCCCTCCTCATGCCTAGCAATGGTGCAGTTCTCAACTCTTTATGGTCACCACATAAAGGGAGTACTGAGATGATAGGAATGCTGCTGCCACTCAATTGTATGTTCCCCCTGCTTTTATTTATCCTTCCCTTACCTTTCTTACAGATGAGCAAAGGTCCAATAAGGCCAGAGTTGAAATCCAGTACTAAGTCATCATAGGAGTAATAGATGTGTGTGAGGCAAGGAGGGTCATCATCTGTGGGCCCATTGTCTTCAGTGATCAGCCATGTATAGGTATATTCCTGACCTGGAAGCACAGCATCATCCATCTTCTCCAGAGGGGACGTTTGGTCTGCATAAGAGGCACCTGGAGACACAGATAAGTTGATTACATCTTTCTTAGATGGTCTTAATTACTTGGAAGGAGTGGAAAGAAGACTTGGCGTGTAGTTTTAGCTCTGTCCCTTACTAGTGATCATAGGCAAGTCTAACCTTTTTGTGTTCGGAGCCTCAGTTTCCTCATTTATGAAACTGAGATAAAAATAGAGTATGAAAACTGGAAGAACCCTTTAGAGATCACCTTTACAGTATTTGCAAAGACTTTCACATAATTCAATTAGGTGAACACTTAACATATGCATACTCTTAATATATGCCTATCTGAGTAAGGCAGTATGCTAGGAACTGGAAAGGCCACATTCCCTGACCTAAAGAAGCTTACAATCTAATATGGAGCCTGTTCTTCTGATGAGTAAGGCCATGACTGGGATCGTAAGCTCATGAGCCTCACCTCCCTCCCAGTTCAGCTTAACCACCAGACTGCTCCATCTCTTCACCTAGAGATACCTCTGAACCCTGGGACTTGCTTTTCTCTTTGGTTAGTTCCTGGCTGAGATCTCTATCTCATGAGGGTATCTTTCTCCTCCTGTTTACTATTCCCCTTTCCAACTCCCCTTTATATAACATCTTCTTCTATTAGAATGCAAATTCCTTGAGGGTAAGGGCTGTCTTGTATTAATGTTTTTGAGTTGTCATCACTGGGCCCAATATCTTGCATGCAGTATGGGCTTAATAAATGCTCTATACACTATGGATAAGAGAAGAATTTATGACCAAACAAGAGATAGAGAGGATCACAGGAAGTAGAATGGATAATTTTCATTACACGAAATTGAAAAACTTTTGCATGAACAAAATGAATGCATCCAAAATTAGAAGGAAAATAGAAAACTGAGAAAAAAAATTACAGCAAATTTTTCTGATAAAGTCCTATTTTCTCAAATATACAGGGAACTGAGCAAAATTTATAATATATATGAGCCATTCCCCAGTTGATAAATGATCAAAGGATATGAAGGCAGTTTTCAGAAGAAGAAATCAAAATTATCAGTAGTTACATGAAAAATGCTCTAAATCATTACTGATTAGAGAAATGCAAATTAAAACAACTCTGAGATACCACCTCACACGCATCAGATTGGCTAATGTGATAGAAAAGGAAAATAACAAAAGTTGGAGGGGATATGGAAAAATTGGGTTGCTAAAAAATTGGAACACTATGTGCTCTTGGTAGAGCTCTACTGGTTCAGCCATTCTAGAGAACAATATGAAACTATGTCCAAAGGACTATAAAACTGTGCATACGCTTTCAGCCAGCAATACCACTAGTAGGCATATATCCTAAAGAGATCAAAGAAAAGGGAAAAGGACCTATTTGTACAAAAATATTTATAGCACCTTGTTTTCGGTGGCAAAGAATTGGAAATTGAAGGGATGCCCATCAACTGGGGGATGGCTGAACAAGTTGTGGTATATGATTGTGATGGAATACTGTTGTGTTATAAGAAGACTTACAGAAACTGAAGGAAAGTGAAGTGAGCAGAACCAGGAGAACACTGTACACAATATTGTAAGGATGATTAGGAAAGACAACTACTCTGATCAAAATAATGATCCAAAACAATTCTGAAGGACTTGTGATGAAAAATGCTATCCACCTACAGAAAGAAAACTGATAAAATCTGAATGCAAATTGAAACATACTTTTAAACTTTATTTTTCTTGTTTCTATTTGTGTTTTCCTTTGCAACATGTATAAAATGGAAGTATGTTTTGCATGACCTCACATATATAATTGATATCAAATTGCTTGCCTTCTCAAGTATGGATGGGGAGAATTTGGAACTCAAAAATTTTTTTTAAATGTTAAAAATATTTTACATGTAATTGGTAAATATTTAATAAAATAGGTGTGTGTGTGTATATATATATCTCAAAAAGGGAAAATGCTTCATCAAATGTGTATACAAACAAATACATAGCATAGAATGTGATAAGAGCAGCTCCAGAAAGAATGTTCTATAAAAATGTCAGTTGAGATGGATCCATGAAGGGGATTAGCATCTGAGCTTGTCATTGAAGGGAGAGAAGAATTTCAAAAGGCAACAATGAGGAAGGAATGCATTCTAGCTAGAAATAGAAGAACAATATCTACAATGATGAAAATGAAAACACAAAAAGGAATTCTGAATTATTGAAATAATCACGGTCCAGAAAAAGTATAATAAAAATATGTGTTTTTCCTCTCAATAGCAAGGTGGGAGATTACTGGGACAGAATGTTGTATACATTGCCAGACTCAGTCACTGTATCAGTTGTTTTTGCTTAGCTGTTTTCTCTTTGTTACTAAGGAAGGTTCAATTTTCTGTCATGTTGGGGTAGGAGAGCTATATCTGGAAATGACTGTAATAAGCAGTGCTGTACAGGGGAAAGTGAAGTGAACTTTGTAATTAGAGATCTAGGTTCAAATCTCATCTTTGCTACTTTGAGGTTTCCATGACTTTAACTTCCTTGGACTCGGTTTCCTCACCTGTAAAATTAGAGGGTTGAACTAGATATCCCCTGAACTCTCTTCCCTCTCTTCATCTATGGTCCTATGATTAGTTGAATGTATCAATAAAACATGACTAACAATATTATAAATATTATTTTAAAGAAAGTGTTAGAGTCAAGATTCATTCTCTACCTCTGATAACTAGTCCAGGGGTCTTTTCTACTAGATCACATTCCCTCTGAAACTTATACAATGTAAGATCTATGGAATATATTTTTTAAATTATCATGGCTCAGAAAATATTAAGTGCTTTAATGACTTCCTATGAGTTACAAAGCTGTTGCTATCTGAAAAGAAGAATTAAGGGAGGGACATTGTTGGAGTGTCCTCTGATAAAGAGGAAGCAGCGCTTCTTCTGAAACCTTACACAACTCAGCTGAGGAGGAGCAAACAGGGCCTGATAAGAAATGTCAGCTTCCTTGGGTCATGTCCTGTTCCTTCTTTAGGACTTGAGGGGCCACCGCTGGACTGTATTTATCTTGAACAAAGCTTGGTTGCCCTAAAGTTCCTGAGCTGCTGGCCCCAGACTCTTTGCTGTAAGCCCACTCAACGTGAGATGATCATGGTGGATCTTACACTGCTCCCCCATTCCCAGTGTTAAAAAGATTTACTGACAACTCCAGAGGCTAAAAGTGGGGAGATCTCCCTTTGCTTGGGAGGGAGCTTTCCTGATCTCTTTGTTAAGGCTCCTTCCCCTCTCCCCAAACTAGTCTGCATATATTCAGTTTACCTGTTGTAGATCCTCAACAGAATGCAGATTAATAACAACAACAATAATAATAGCATTTAGATAGCACTTTAACATTTGCAAAGAGTTTTGCATTTGATCATTTGATCCTTACCACCATCTGAGGAAAATGCTCTTATTATTCCACTTTTACATCTATGAGGAAACTGAGGTCACATGGCTATTAGTAGCCTGATGGAGCATTATGAACTAATATATTCTTGACTTCAAATTTCAGCACTTTATCTATTACTCCAAAGGCAGGGATTTTTTTGGCGGGGGAGGAATGGAGGATGGGTATGATTTTCGTACTCCTGGTACCTGAAAATCAACATTATGTAGTGCCTCTGAGTCAGAATGACCTGGACTTTAGTCCATAATTTGCAGACCAATTGCACTGGTAGTTTCTTCAGTGGGAGATTTCTTCTTTCCAGAATGAAATCGCATGTCTGGATCTGCTATTTCATTGGTATAAGGAGTGCTAGGTGAGGAAATTCCTTTGCATACAGTAGGTATTTAACAATACTTGTTGGGAGTGGATTGATGCCAAAAAGCAAATTCAAATTTATGAAACCTGAAACAGTTCGAGGAGTCAACTGAATAGCTTCGCATCTTGTGATAATGCAAATGCGTACTTCGGCTAGATTTTTTCCTCTTTACCTCTTTCACAGTTAATCCCCATCTCTTTTCCTTTGTGTTTAACCAGGCGACAAACGTTTCATAAGGATTAATGAATTCTCTCAGGAAGCACCATCCAATAGAAAAAAGCATCGGATTAGAAATTGGAAATTCTAGATTGGAATCTTGGCTACGCAGCTAGATAGGAGTGCGAGCTTAAGCAGATGTTTCATCTTGAATCCCCATTTTCCTCATGGGTAATAATACTTGTACCACCCAATTCCCAGAATTGCTGTGTGAGAGAATATATGTAAAGTGATTTGTGGTTGAAAGGCACAACATAGTAATAGCAGCTGTAGTTACCTTCGGGGGAGATCGGAAGAGGGCTTTGTCTTCATTTCATGGTCAGATGAGTCAATTTTACCCAAGTTCAGCAAACAAATCAGTGATTAATGGATTAAAAAAAAAACCCCAACAACCTCGTTTAGGAATGTAGCCTTTTAGGCCCTTCTGAGGCTTTTATTGGAGTATTAGATTTTTTCCCCTGGGATACTGCTTTCACTTTGCAATTTTTTTTTTTGGAGGGTAGACAGAAAACTAATATAAATGAGGAGGGACAATTCATTAGTCATTGTATGAAAAAGAAGGGCCACAAAACATCTAATATTGCCATATATGTTCATAGTAAAGAATAGCTGCGCATATGATTGTAATCATATACGCACAATCCATGTGTGTATACATATGTGTGTATACATGTGTACATATATATGTGTGCATGTGTGCATGTATGTGTGTAGATTGTAAAGGATGTTGAAATCCTGCCTCAGGCACTTACTAGCTATGTGACCCAGGGCAAGTCACTTCAACCTGTTTGCCTCAGTTTCCTCATCTGTAAAATGAGCTGGAGAAGGAAATGGCAAACAATTCCAGTATCTTTGCCAAGAAAACCCCAAATAGGGTCATGAAGAAGTCAGACTCAACTGAAACTATCAAACAAAAACAACAATAGAAAATGAATTCTCCAAACTAAAAACAAAGCAATGACCTTTAAGATAACAAAAAATCTCATTGTGTTTAAAGCACAAAGGTCCCATGTGCTAATCCTTAGTCAGATGTAAGCTTGCTG